TGGCAACGAAACCTCAGCCAGTGACCTGCAGACCTCCGACACGGTTGCAGCCGCTCCGCAAAACTGCCGGACACCGCGCGGCTCGCAGAGTTCGACTGAGAGACCCTTCCTTGAGCTGCGCCTCGCCTATGCTTTTTCTACATTATACCATACTATACCATACTATACTATACGATACTATACCATACTATACTTCACTTCTCTGTATACTCCACTTCTCTGTAATCTATACTGTACCATACTCTACTATACTTTCTCAGCTATATTCACCTGTCTGTAATAACTATAAGCTACATGGGTGGTTGTCAAAATTAGGGTCCCTCTTTGGGTCCCTATTATAATACCGCACCTAAGATTTAGGGTACCCCAAAAAGGACCATAATTTTGACAACTACCCATAAGTTTCCGAACGTAGGAGACCCTAATATAGTACCCTAAATTAGTAGGATCCTATTTATAAGGACTCCAAAGTAAGTTACAGAACTATAAGCCACATGAACCCTAGGCAAAAGCCTAACGAAGAAGCGGGTCTCTCGAGTTCCATGCGTCCGCACCACGGGCTCCCGGTTGCAAGGGAGCTACTGCAAACAGAACAGAGTCAGCGACGGCCATGGAAGGTATAGTATAGTATAGTACAGTGTGATGTAGTATAGTGTAGTACAGTAAAGTATAGTAAAGTGTAGTGTAGTATAGTGCAGTATAGTATAGTATAGCAACGTATAGTACAGTATAGTATAGTAAAGTGCAGTATAGCCTCTATCCTGAAACAACGGGGGTCTCCGAAAGTGGCTGCCGCAGAATGATCCAGGCTGCAAAATTGACTTTGTAAAATCGCCGCCAGAGCGCGGACAAGCGCGCCCGAAACGCTGCGAGCCAAAAATTCTGTGCCAAACACACGAGCTCCACTGCAAGTAAAGATCGCGAATGACGGCTGCGGCCATCTAAAGAGCCTAGCGCAACATATCATAGTAGCATACAAGTATGGTGTGACGGTAAACCATCAAGTGTAGCATGAAGCATGTTTAACAACCTCCTAAAGCCCAGCGCACACCCTGAATTCTCTTGACCCTGAGAAGCCGCTGTAGAACCCTTACAGTACCCTTAATTAGGGATCCCTTATTACGGCCCCTATACCTATCCTAAACCCTGAACCCTATAGATCCCTTAAAGGAACCCTTAAGGGAGCGCTGGAAGGAATTCCGAATTTTTACTTTCAGCTGGAGCTCTTCACTTCGCATCCCGGCAGCATCAGAAGCAGGGCCTCGGCAAAGCACCGAAGCCGTCAAATCTAATGTAGGGACCTTAATGATTAGAGTAGGGGTTCCTTCATGATTAGAGTAGGGGTTCCTTCATGATTAGAGTAGGGGTTCCTTAATGATTAGAGTAGGGGTTCCTTGAAGGGTCTCTTGTAAAGGGATCTATAAGGCTTACTTTCATGGGTGTATGAGGGGTTAGCATAGGGGCCTTCATAAAGGATGACCTCGTGGGGCACTTCAGCGTCCAGGGTCCAAAATAGGGGCCTTAATAATTAAAAATATATGGGGTTTAGGGTTTAGGGGCCTTCATAATTGGACTGGGGGTTCCTTGAAGGGTCTCTTATAAAGGGATCTATAAGGCTTACTTTCAGGGGTCGTATGAGGGGTTCGTATAGGGGCCTTAAGAATTAGGGTTTCGGGGCCCATTACTTTATACTTATGATACGGAGCCACCAAAATAGTTTTGGTAATTACTTTGGCCCATATAGTAGATGGGGTTCAGGCTTTCGGGTTAGGGGTTGAGTGTTTAGGGTTTAGGGCTCAGGGTGAAGGGCTTGCGGTTGGTTGTTAAGAACTCCTTTTTCCATCGTTTAAGTATTCATCTTCTATCAAGACCATAAAAACAAGGATGGGGCTCTATCTATCTCTTGTATTGATGCAGGGTTTGGAGTTAAGATTGAAACGGTTGGGAGTTTTGGGTTTAAATGAGATAATTAGGCATCGATCGTGATAATGAGTGAGTGATGCGATCCGTGGCCCCAGCTGGTTCCAGAGGATCGCCAGCTCGGAAACCTCCCAAGCAAGCCGGGAGCGAAGGCTAGCGAACAAGGGCCCAAGTGTCCCTTAATTAGGGGATACTATCATTTAAGGTATATTCCTTATAAACTATAGCAGGATCCCTTCTAATGGCCCTACTGTTATCCTGTATCTCACAGGCCTGGAGCTTAATAGAATTAATAGAAGGCACTGAGTGCTTCGAACAAGGCGGTGGTGTAATTTCCAGGGTGTTACTTACTGTTATTTTGTAGAGACTATGCTGAGGTGCAGCTATAAGCACAAGGGCTTAAACCTTTCACAGGATTCGGGGGTTTGGCCTGGCATGGGGAGGTGGCTGAGGGAGCCTTCGGCAGGAACAGGCTCCCAAAGACTCCAATATCCCAAAATTAAGGAGTGCTTGAATTATAATAAGATCCCTAACATGAGTTCAGGAATATTCCTGGATTATAGTAGAAGCCAGAAAGTTGGAACATAATTGTCCCTGTGCCCTTCAGGTAAAGTATTAGGGATCCTAGCACTGATCCTCCTAAAGCCATGTTCCAACTTTCTGGCTTCTACTATAAGGACTATTGGAATCCCCTAAACCCTCAACCCTTTAGATGCCTTCTAGATCCCTCAAAGGAGCCCTTACCCCTCGTTTTCCTTAATTAAAGGAAATTGGAGTCTCTGGGGCTTAGCACATCCCAAGGCCAGGGAAGGATGACCTCGTGCCCATCTCGAGACTCCAATATCCCTTAACTAAGGAATAGTCCTTAAATCATCTTCGGGATCCTACTATTAATTTAAGGTATATTCCTTACTTAAGGGATATTGGAGTCTCTGGGTGGGGCACTTCAGCGTCCAGGGTCCAAAATAGGGGCCTTAATATTTGGACTAGGGGTTCCTGGAAGGGTCTCTTATAAAGGGATCTATAAGGTTACTGTAAGGGGTGGTATGAGGGGTTAGTACAGGGGCCTCAATAATTAGAATAGGGTTTTGAGGGCCCATTATACTATAGCCCCAAAATAGTGTTGGTAATTATTGAGGCCCCCGTATTAGGTTGCGGGGTTCAGGGGTCATGCGGAATTCTACGTAGGGGAAGGCTGCAAGCACGTTGACTGGAGCTAAGAAGGTAAGCCCAAAAGCCAGAAGCCCCGCAAAACCTGAAGCGCGAAACCCCAGAGCCCCAACGTCCCAGTAAACGAAGCTCCAAAAAACAGCCCTCCAAAGCCCGAAAGGAGCAAAGAACCCCACCGGTGCCTGCCAGGGATACTCCAGGTCCAGCTCCTCCAACTTCGGGTTCCTGGCCACGGAAGATCCAAACTTAGGGTTCTGGGTGTAGGCCTAAACCCTAAACCCTAAACCGAGAGTTTGGGGTTCTGATGTTGGGTTCTAGCTGTGGTGCCAGACCTTACAGCAACCTGAAAAGGCCTACCTCAACAAAAACAATTCCAAGAATCCTTGAAGCAAAAAAGGCTCGGAGCCTGATAGACGTGGAGGACCCTTAATAAGGACCCCTATGTATATACCCTGAATATAGCTACTATATACCCATTATATAGCCCATTATAGGGTAGGGGTCTCCATTAAGTGGACCTCCTCGCCCCGCCCGAAGAATGAACCCCGAAGCTTCAACTCTAATTTAGGGGTTAGGGGTTTTAGGGTTTTAGGGCTTTAGGGCTTTAGGGCTTTAGGGGTTTAGGGGTTTAGGGTTTAGGGCTTTAGGGCTTTAGGGGTTTAGGGCTTTAGGGGTTTAGGGGTTTAGGGTTTTAGGGGTTTAGGGGTTTAGGGTTCAGGGTTTCGGGCTTAGGACCCAACACGTAACCTGATCCCGAAATCCCAAACCCTGAAACTCTAAACCAACAATCGATCGAGACCTCTGACATCCTAAACTCAAAACCCTTAAAGCCATGAACCCGAAATCCGAAACGATACACTGGAAGCCCGCAACACTAAACCCATATCCTGAACCCAAAACCACAAACCCTACACCTTAAAACGGGCCTTCCCCTTGGGGTGTTGATGGGCTTGTGTTCCAGCAGCATCGAGCCTCGTCACGGCCATGGCATAGCAGACCGTCCGAATGTCGTCCACTGCCTGAGCTTTGAGACCCATAGCAAGCCTAAACCCTCAAACCTAAACCCTAAGCCCCTAAACCCTAAACCCCTAAACACTCAAACCCTAAACCCTAAACCCCTAAACCCTCTGAAACAAAAAGGCTTCGAGGCATGGACACCCTCGACGATCTCACCCTCTGCATCCCGCAGGCAGTTGACCTCAGCCGAAAGTTTTCTGTGCGGGCCAGACCCCAAAACCAAGTGTCCCACCTGCTGCATGTTGAAGGTCCAGATGAAGCACGGAGCGCCCTACGTCGGAAGTCGCTGTGACAAGGGCGGTTTATGGTGTTAAGGGGGGGTCCAGTTTTGGCACAGGGACTTCCTCGAGATTCAAGGATTTCTTCCGGCTTTGGATTTCTGCATGAGGCATGTCGGGTTCGGCTTCATCGCTCCGGATGAGGCTTCTGCGACGACGGGATCCTAAACGAGTGTTGCAAAGTTGGGGTGTCACACAGAGACCGGAATTGGCCCCACGGACTCTGAAGAACTTCAGGATTCCATCACAGGCTCGACATTCACTTTGCTCCTACCGAACTCCAACCCTCAAACAGATGACAAAGCTGTTGCAACGCAACTCAGCTGCCATCACTCCGATCTCTGTAGCCACCATCGTTCACTTATGTTTGTCTTCGATGTCCGTTGCTGGCAGCACCAAGTCATTTGCTTGGCACTCTATGCAGAACGCAGAAATGGCAGGCCCGGCGCACAGCTGTTGCCAAGCGGCGGGACTGTCTGAACTCGTCGGTGCCCTGCACTCCATGCTAAGACACCGACCGAACACATAAAACTGGCTCGAGCAATCGAATTAGCACAAGGCTGTTCTGTTCAGCCTCGACCGTCATACTGCCTCGCTTCTGAACGAGGCTAAATTTCACATGCAGTTCTCACTGGTGGCCACAGACTCCGTGTGAGACTGGTACTCACCGCTTTGCGTCTTGCCCTCCTCGGAGCTCTGTGCCGGTCCGTGGAACATCCCACCCATCTCGGACCAGTAGTAGCATGGGCTCAGCAGCGCCCAAAACATTACATAGCCCGCATGGACCTGGAAAGGCAGCAGGGCATCCTGGATCGGCTTGTAAAAGCAGAAGCCTGCAATCACTGCCCCGAGGTTTCCACCGGCACCCACAAGCGCGGACACCACTGCGAGCTGCTTCCTGACGTGTGCATACTACCAGTTGGCACAAAGAACTACGAAGATAAGTTGTTGCCATGACCCCAGTACTTCATACTCAGATGTGCTGACATGTCCTACATGAATGCAACGGTGGCAACCGCGAATCACCCAAAAATCTTCCATGCACTGATCCAAGCTTCCGGTTCATAAAGGGCACGATGCCGTAGGAGGTGCCTTCAGCCATCTGCACAAAGAGCGAGAAGCACACCAAGACTGCCAATGCCACGTACCAAGGCTGAGAATTGTCCACGTTTCCGAAGCTGAATAGGAAGATAGCTTCGAAGAAGAGTGCCAGGAACTGGGCCCAAATGCGGCCGCGGAAGCCGAAGTACTTGAAGCACACATCGCTGCTGATGCCTCCAAGTGATCGAGCGAAAAGATTCATGAGGCCGAAAGCACCCGCCAGCGCGCTGGCATCACCTGCATCCATCTGGAAGTATGTCCGAAAATGCGTAGCCAACTGATTGTTCATTGCGAGCTCGGTGCCGAAACACGCGGAATATTGGAATATCATGACCACGACGCGAACGTCACGCAGCACCTCGACATAGTCCCACATCGAAGGCTTTTGTGTCTTGCCGGTCACGGCCGGATCGTAGTTGCGTGCCGTAGGCATATCCCAGCACATGAGCTTCATGCAAACGGCACAAACTACGAACATGACCGCTGGCACCACCATGGAGACACGCCAAGCGACATTCGGCTCCAACCCGGATGCCACCATAGGGTTGAAAAGTACAGACATCATAAAAATCTGGGTCACGCCGCCTCCCAAGTTGCCCCAACCGGCCGCAGTGGCGTTGGCCGTGCCGACAACATTGGGCGCAAACATCAGCGAGCACCAGAACTGATTGGTCACGAAAGTGGCGCCGGCGCAACCTATGAAGAAGCGGATCAGCGTATAGTTCCATGGAGCTGTAATGGCGGCCGCCATTGCCACCCAGAAGGCCCCAAAGGACATTAAGCCGCACTGAACGTTTACCGGACCGAAGCGCTCGAGGAGCGTCCCCAAGGCAACCCTCACGAAGATGGTCGAGGCAACGGAGGCTACGCCGGCATTCCTAGTTCATGGTTGGGATAGGATTCGAAATTCAAATTTTTATTCCTTATTGGGTTTAAGTACCCATAAAAGGGTAAAATGTAACCCAACGATGACAAAGATTCGCAATCACCGACTTACATTCCGTGCCCGGGGTGCACACGCACTTTGCCAGCACCTGCGGCCTGTACTTCTCCTTCTGCTCATCCGTTGACTCGGCGCCACTCACCACATCTGCTGGCACATCCTCGCAGTCGATCGGCTTGCCGTCCTCCTTGAGAACCCCATACTGGCAATAGCTCAGCCCACTCTTCAAGTTCTTGAACTTCAGGTAGGCTGGTCGCGTTGGGAAGTCCGTAGGAGGGAAGAGCTGGTTCTCGCACGTCCCCATGCTGGTCGCAACTTCGAGGCCCAAGGGCGCCAAGGCAAACCAGCCTTGGCAGCTTACACTTTTTGTTTTGATAACAGTGTACGTTTAAGGTTGAAACGAGCTAAGCCCAAAAATGCGAAGATTACATAGTAATAATAAAATTGTGCGAAGCAGCCCAAGAAGGCAAGGAAGAAAGATATGGTGCTGGCCCAGAAGGCCCGCATGTGCGGATTCTGCTGCACGGTGCCGCAAACCCTCAATAGCGGCAGCTCCGTGGCCTTCTTGCTGGAATCCACTGCCAGCTTGTACTCCATGGTTGTACAAAGTGGGATGACAGTACTCTCTTTCTTGGAGGCTAAAGCTCGAGCACCAATAACTTGCGCCAGACAACCCTAAACCCTAAACCCTAAACCAGACAGTGCGAGAGATTCCAGCTTCGGCTTAGGACCCCAAAGCGATGCATTATAGTATACCTGGACCCTAAGGAACCTGCCTTTTTAGGGTTCCCTAATATGATTTCTTTATATAAGTCCTTAAAAATGTAGGTTACTTGGGGTTAAGGTAGTGATATGGAAGTCGCTGTGACAAGGGCGGTTTATGGTGTTAAGGGGGGGTCCAGTTTTGGCACAGGGACTTCCTCGAGATTCAAGGATTTCTTCCGGCTTTGGATTTCTGCATGAGGCATGTCGGGTTCGGCTTCATCGCTCCGGATGAGGCTTCTGCGACGACGGGATCCTAAACGAGTGTTGCAAAGTTGGGGTGTCACACAGAGACCGGAATTGGCCCCACGGACTCTGAAGAACTTCAGGATTCCATCACAGGCTCGACATTCACTTTGCTCCTACCGAACTCCAACCCTCAAACAGATGACAAAGCTGTTGCAACGCAACTCAGCTGCCATCACTCCGATCTCTGTAGCCACCATCGTTCACTTATGTTTGTCTTCGATGTCCGTTGCTGGCAGCACCAAGTCATTTGCTTGGCACTCTATGCAGAACGCAGAAATGGCAGGCCCGGCGCACAGCTGTTGCCAAGCGGCGGGACTGTCTGAACTCGTCGGTGCCCTGCACTCCATGCTAAGACACCGACCGAACACATAAAACTGGCTCGAGCAATCGAATTAGCACAAGGCTGTTCTGTTCAGCCTCGACCGTCATACTGCCTCGCTTCTGAACGAGGCTAAATTTCACATGCAGTTCTCACTGGTGGCCACAGACTCCGTGTGAGACTGGTACTCACCGCTTTGCGTCTTGCCCTCCTCGGAGCTCTGTGCCGGTCCGTGGAACATCCCACCCATCTCGGACCAGTAGTAGCATGGGCTCAGCAGCGCCCAAAACATTACATAGCCCGCATGGACCTGGAAAGGCAGCAGGGCATCCTGGATCGGCTTGTAAAAGCAGAAGCCTGCAATCACTGCCCCGAGGTTTCCACCGGCACCCACAAGCGCGGACACCACTGCGAGCTGCTTCCTGACGTGTGCATACTACCAGTTGGCACAAAGAACTACGAAGATAAGTTGTTGCCATGACCCCAGTACTTCACACTCAGATGTGCTGACATGTCCTACACTAATGCAACGGTGGCAACCGCGAATCACCCAAAAACCTTCCATGCACTGATCCAAGCTTCCGGTTCATAAAGGGCACGATGCCGTAGGAGGTGCCTTCAGCCATCTGCACAAAGAGCGAGAAGCACACCAAGACTGCCAATGCCACGTACCAAGGCTGAGAATTGTCCACGTTTCCGAAGCTGAATAGGAAGATAGCTTCGAAGAAGAGTGCCAGGAACTGGGCCCAAATGCGGCCGCGGAAGCCGAAGTACTTGAAGCACACATCGCTGCTGATGCCTCCAAGTGATCGAGCGAAAAGATTCATGAGGCCGAAAGCACCCGCCAGCGCGCTGGCATCACCTGCATCCATCTGGAAGTATGTCCGAAAATGCGTAGCCAACTGATTGTTCATTGCGAGCTCGGTGCCGAAACACGCGGAATATTGGAATATCATGACCACGACGCGAACGTCACGCAGCACCTCGACATAGTCCCACATCGAAGGCTTTTGTGTCTTGCCGGTCACGGCCGGATCGTAGTTGCGTGCCGTAGGCATATCCCAGCACATGAGCTTCATGCAAACGGCACAAACTACGAACATGACCGCTGGCACCACCATGGAGACACGCCAAGCGACATTCGGCTCCAACCCGGATGCCACCATAGGGTTGAAAAGTACAGACATCATAAAAATCTGGGTCACGCCGCCTCCCAAGTTGCCCCAACCGGCCGCAGTGGCGTTGGCCGTGCCGACAACATTGGGCGCAAACATCAGCGAGCACCAGAACTGATTGGTCACGAAAGTGGCGCCGGCGCAACCTATGAAGAAGCGGATCAGCGTATAGTTCCATGGAGCTGTAATGGCGGCCGCCATTGCCACCCAGAAGGCCCCAAAGGACATTAAGCCGCACTGAACGTTTACCGGACCGAAGCGCTCGAGGAGCGTCCCCAAGGCAACCCTCACGAAGATGGTCGAGGCAACGGAGGCTACGCCGGCATTCCTAGTTCATGGTTGGGATAGGATTCGAAATTCAAATTTTTATTCCTTATTGGGTTTAAGTACCCATAAAAGGGTAAAATGTAACCCAACGATGACAAAGATTCGCAATCACCGACTTACATTCCGTGCCCGGGGTGCACACGCACTTTGCCAGCACCTGCGGCCTGTACTTCTCCTTCTGCTCATCCGTTGACTCGGCGCCACTCACCACATCTGCTGGCACGTCCTCGCAGTCGATCGGCTTGCCGTCCTCCTTGAGAACCCCATACTGGCAATAGCTCAGCCCACTCTTCAAGTTCTTGAACTTCAGGTAGGCTGGTCGCGTTGGGAAGTCCGTAGGAGGGAAGAGCTGGTTCTCGCACGTCCCCATGCTGGTCGCAACTTCGAGGCCCAAGGGCGCCAAGGCAAACCAGCCTTGGCAGCTTACACTTTTTGTTTTGATAACAGTGTACGTTAAAGGTTGAAACGAGCTAAGCCCAAAAATGCGAAGATTACATAGTAATAATAAAATTGTGCGAAGCAGCCCAAGAAGGCAAGGAAGAAAGATATGGTGCTGGCCCAGAAGGCCCGCATGTGCGGATTCTGCTGCACGGTGCCGCAAACCCTCAATAGCGGCAGCTCCGTGGCCTTCTTGCTGGAATCCACTGCCAGCTTGTACTCCATGGTTGTACAAAGCGGGATGACAGTACTCTCTTTCTTGGAGGCTAAAGCTCGAGCACCAATAACTTGCGCCAGACGAGAGATTCCAGCTTCGGCTTAGGACCCCAAAGCGATGCATGATAGTATACCTGGACCCTAAGGAACCTGCCTTTTTAGGGTTCCCTAATATGATTTCTTTATATAAGTCCTTAAAAATGTAGGTTACTTGGGGTTAAGGTAGTGATATGGAGCTTCCGAAAATGGGGGACCCGGATATAGTGGCCGAAAGAGAAAGATCCTTATCATAGGACCCCAAAATACGGTAGCCCTAATTTTTCGGAAACTCCCAAGTCCCTTATAGATCCCTTTAACGGAACCCTTATAGTACCCCTTTAAAGGAATGAGGAACCCTACAGGAGGAACGGCCTGCTCCATCAGCTTGGCCCCCTTGAGCTCGATCTGGCAGTGGCTTGGACTTCACCAGGATGGGAGAGCGTTTCGGTCTTGGGGTTAGGGCTTAGGGCTGAGGGCTTAGGGCTGAGGTTTAGGGTTTAGGACTTAGGGGGTTAGGACTTAGGAGTTCAAGGTTTAGGGTCTAGGGGGTTAGAGGTTTAAGACCAGGGAAGTCTCGATGCATTGATAGTTTGCAGAAGACTCAGAGATCCCAATACCCCTTACTTAAGGAATACACCTTAACCCCGAGCAACCTACCTTTTTAAGGACTTATATAAAGACATCATATTGGGGAACCCCAAGAAGGTAGGTTCTCCAGGTATACCTTAAGCCATAATATTAAGGCCCTATGATTTAAGGTATATTCCGTAATTCAGGGATCTGTGAGTTGCAAGAGAACCACTGCACGTGCCTCACGCGGCCCAGCCAAGATCGTGGTGTCCAGAGACATCTTCAGCTTGATTCTCTCCTACTTAGAGGATCATGGGACATATTTAGGTTATAACCCCAGCTAAGGTACTCATAACCTTACGTACTAATTCCCATGATCCTCCAAGTTCCGCACTCTATCAAACTCCTGACGCAAAAACGCACGGGCTGCGGGGATTCACCCTAAGACAGCTGTACGAAACTCTTTGCGTCTGCGAAACTAGAACCCTGAAACAACCCATGAAAGGTCCATACAAACATTCGGCAAACCCATGCGAAGCAAAGCAATTTACGGACAACCCCATGGTTCTAGTAGTAATAGTAGCAGTAATAGCAGTAGCTGTAGCTCTAGTGTAGTCCAAGCGGTTTCGAAGGCTAAAAGCTGCTTATCTCGTCTGGTAGCGCTAAGCTTACCCTGACGCTCCCATATGCTCTTATGACGGTTCGCCGCAAGAAGTAGAATCTGTAGACTATTCTTACAATAACCCTTATAGTAGCTCTTACAGACTCCTTTCAAGGAACGCTATTAAAATTATATAGGCCCCTAAACCGAAACCCTATTCCGGAGGTGAAGGTGGCTCCTTGATGCCTGCGTTCACCGCCGCGAAAGCAGCGTCCCCGCAGTGCTTCTCGAGGGCCTTTGGCTCTAAGGTCGGTTTCGGGTGCTGTAAGGGTTACTTTAAGGGATCTACAGGGTGTAGGGTTCAGGGTGAAAGGGCTCTAGGGCTATAGGGCTATAGGGGTATAGGGTTTAGGGTTCAGGCTTTGGGGCGTCGGGGTGAAAGCGCATATCAGGAAATCAAGAATCGCTGTGTATGTACAAGAAAAGTGCTTGTTCCATCTACAGCTATGCTTAGTTACTAGAGACCCTCTTAGAGTGCATATAGTACCCGAGCCTCCCAGTTATGTCGGCTTGCTCATAAACTTCGAACCTTGGAGAAGAAGGCCAAAGCGTACAGTGAAAAAAACATCCTGACAAGGCTCATGTAGGGTTGAAGTTCAGGGTTTGGGTCACAATGCTACAAGCAAGCTTGTAATAACCCAGTCCCTTGACCCTTCCAATGAGATCGGCATATGGGAGTTTCCGAAAATAGGGGATCCTAATATAGTAGCCCTAAATAGTAGGATCCTTATTATAAGGACCCCAAAATAAGGTACCCCCTATTTTCGGAAACTCCCATATGCCAAAAATCATGCTAGGAGTTTCATGGTCTGACAAGGGCTTCACGCGCCAGAAAGGCTCCTTCATTCAGGAAGTCTTGTCGTACTTGGAGGTTCATGGGTGGTTGTAACCGGGGGGTGTAACCAAGGTACCTATAATTTAACCCATGGGGACTTATAACCCCACTTATAGCTACACATGAACCTCCAAGTAATTTTCAGGAAACGTTAAAAGGAACCCTGAGAAAGAGCCCTTAAACGGAAGAGTTTCCCAAAATTAGGGTACCTAATTTTAGGTCCTCATAATAGGGATTCTACTATTTAAGGTCCCCGTATGTTCGGAAACTCCCCGAAAAGGTGAGGTCTATTCCTCCTGGGTTCTCTAAGAACTGGGACTCTGGCCGCTTGGTCGCCCTCCAGATAGGACCGGATGATGTGCGGAGCCACGATGTACTCCATGTCCTTGAGTCTCGGGTGTAGGGTTATAGAGTCCTCCGGGTTTAGGGTTTATCAACGGTTGGAACCATGGGCCCCTTGTATGGGCCCTAAATACCTACTATATACCCTATATAGCCTCGAACTCCCTAAAAAGGCCTAAGGGTCCATGTCAGGGGCCCTCACCTTCGAGTTTTGGGATTGCCGTGGAAGAGCACATTGGCGAAACTATCTGGGAGTTTCCGAAAATGAGGGGTACCTTATATGGGGTCCTTATAATAAGGATCCTATTATTTAGGGTACTAAACCTATTTGCGGAAACTCCCATCTGGCCACAGCGCTTTTTTGAGTCTCCGTTGCTCCAGTGCCGGGCCCGAGGTGTCGTGGGGAGGCTGGGTTTAGGGGTTTAGGGGTTTAGGGGTTTAGGGGTTTGGGGGTTTAGGGGCTGAGCGCCATCCAGGTCGAGGAGCTTAAGTGCCGCCCACCCGAGGGTTTCGGAAGCCCAAAAACCCTGACCACAAAGCCAAAACTCCCCAACCCAAAACCCCGAACCCAGCACTCTAAACCTCCTTTCCACAAACAGCCAAACCCAACAGCTAAACCCATACAAATTGAATAGAACGCTTGTTGTCCCTAAACCCTAAACCCTCCTTCTCACCCGCATTGAACACACAACCCGTAAACCCAGGCCAAAGCATGACGAGGGACCTCTGCAAACTCCTCGAGACGGAAGGAGTAGTCCAGCTCCTGGCCACCATGATGGCGCTAGTCCCCGAGAACCCAACACCTCTTAATTAAGGAATATACCTTAAGTCATAATATTTGAGCCTCCGATGATTTGAAGTATAATCCTTAATTCAGGGGTATCGGGACCTTTGGGGGATGTAGGGTTTACGGACTGGCTTTCTGGCTTTCTGGCTTTCATGCTGAAGAGTCGATGTCGACGCAGCGCCAAACAACTGTACAGGTAAAAGCATCCAAAAACATGCAGTGTCAGATAATTAAGATGCCTGCTCCTCGATGGCAGCTGCTGCGTCCAGCCACTGTTCGATCGCAGGGGACACCCACTTGTCTTTCCAAGCGTGTCGAGCCGCAGGATCATCTAGAAGTGCACTAGCGATCTCCCCTACGGGTTACCACAAAGGCAATTTGGGCCCCACTAGTTTAGTGCTCGGGAGGGCCGCCAGTGCAGGGTCTGGCGCGGCCACATCCTCGGCACGCTCCACAATCTGGTGCGAAACCAGACAGGACAAACACTTCGGTGAGTCATGTTGAAGGTGCCGGATGAGCCGTGCTCGTGTCCAGAAGCGTGTGCAACACACGTGACAGGTGGTGCCACATGTGATGCGACGCGCTTCGCAGTGGCGACCATGGACCGCAAAGCGATGTGCAGCCAGTTGCTGCTGGCTGGCAAACGCAGCATCGCAACAGTCGCAAGGCCAGGTCTTCGCTGGAGCTGGCTCGTCGCTCGCAACGGCAGCTACCCAGGCAGGGTCATACAGCGGGTGGTGCAAAGCCAGGGAAGCATGGCGGGTGGCAGTGCGGAAGGCCGCTGGATGGTAGAGCGACCATTCAGCCAGTCCTTCAGGGAAGAGCCTGGCCTCCTCAGGGACCGAAGTTAGACTCTGCAACCAGTGGGCATCATCTTGCAGGAGGCCCAGCCAGGAAGTGGCGGGCGAGAGTCTGTACTCAGTCACAAGAAGATCCAGCAAGGAAGGCTGTGTGAGCACCAAGCGCTGAAAGTGCCGCAATCTTTGCACCCGAAGAAACGCATGCGGCGAGGGCATCCGGAAATGGCGGCACACTTCCTTTTCACCTGGAAGCGAGGGGCAGCCAGTAAATCTGTCATCCCGGCTAAGAGAACGTAGGAGCTTGATGTAGCCTTGCTTCCAGGTATTGGCCTCAGCCAGGGTAAGGCGACTCCAGGTTGCAGCCGTGGAGGAGGCAGTGCTGAGTGCGAGCGAGGAAAGGCACAGCTTGCGCACTGTGAGAGGGATGCGGTCATCTCTCAAAACTGCACTCCGCAAGGGACGAATGGCCGCGGTCGCAGCGGCCACATGCTGCAAGATGTCCGCCGCCGCTCCCGGGCGCTCAGTCACATGCCCGCCAAGATGCACATACCTCTTCACGCAGCAAACAGAGATGGAGGTCTCACCAACAGAAAATCGGAGAACACCTCCTTGCTTGCTCAGGAGAAGCTGGCGCAGTGCCGGCGCCTGCCGACCCCTAAAGGCAAACAGTATCTCAGTTTTGCCACGCTTGCAGTTGGGCAGCATGGCTCGCCTCAAAAATTCTTCATGGAGAACGGCCATGGTGCGGGTGGTCTTGGCAAGCTGCTGTTCTGCGCTAGCCGAGACCTGCAGAAGCACTGTGTCGTCAGCCCAAGTGGGGGCCACCAATTTCGAACCCGCAAAGGCCGCCTCTGTGACAGGGTCAGAGAGCAGACCCTCAGCATCCAAGCGCTTCTCTACTGCCGCGAGGCAATCAGCCTGCACCATAGCAAAGAGGACATCCGCCAGAGCATCACCCGGCCGAGTGCCGGCTTGAGTGCGGTAGACATCCGCGGATCCCCGTAAGCTAAAATGTGTGCCTCGCAGGAACTCAGCCAAAATTCTTTGACTGTGGGGAGACGCCTGCTGAAGTAGGTGCGTGCCCGCGAGCCACTCGCAAACGGCGTGCATGGATTCACGTTGAACCCCAAGCAGCCCTAGCACTTGACAGACCTGCTCATCATTCTCCACATCGCCCGTGAGGGCTTGGCGCACAACCCGATAGTAAGCGCTGGACACATCCATAAAGATAGCCGCAGAGGAAACCTTCTGGGAGTGCGCCAGAGCAAGATGTGTGCGGAGGACATGGTGGGCACCCTGCAACAATGACCCCGGCAGGCCTCCTTGTTGGAATTCTGTGGCCGGCAGAGCCTTGATGAGCGCTGAAGATCGTAGCTGCTTTCGAATGAGCTTGCCGGGACCAGCCATGAGCGCTATGGCCCTGAAGCTCTCAACTTTGGAGGGGGAACCTCCCTTGAAGAGGGCAATGAGCTGGGTAGACTTGAGCTTGATCGGCTCCAAGAGACGAACATGAGTCTTCAGGCACAGGGGGAGCAGGAGCTGTGCAGCCTTGCCAGCGCGAAGGGCCCACAACCAGTCAGGGATCCCCTCTGGACCGGGGGCCTTACCCTTTTTAACAGGCTTCGAGATCCGCTAAGGTAGGCAGCTCTCCGACGGAGAAACGGGCTTCACCTGCTGGGTCCGGTGCGGGCACAAGCACGTCTTGAATGGCGCATTTGGTGCCAGCTTCAAGACTGGCAAAATGCTCCTGTTGTGCGATCAGCCGCCGGTGGAAGGAGTCATCAATGCAGTCAGCAACCTGCAATGCCGCATACGGTTTGATTACACGCTTGCACGGAGGACGCAGTGCACGCAGGGTTTTGAAAAACTCCTTGGCATTGAAAGGATCTGTCACGTCGCACAGCTTTGCGTGCGCTCTGCGTACGAATGCTCCCTTGTCAACACGCAGACAGCGACGCAGCTCTTTGCGGCAGGTGGCGAGGGTGCTGCAAGCAAAACTGACCATGTCACGAACGGTCAGGAGATCCCAACCCTCCGCGGAAAGGCCAGTTCGGCCACTAGAGCGCTGGGAGTCGAGTCTTGCAGCCAAGGCCGACCAGTTCTTGATGGCCTTTTTGCAAAACTTAGTGGCCTCGAGCCACCACTTAGAGGCTTCAGAGACGAAGGCACGGCAGCGCCTGGAGCTAACAGGCTTGCAGCTGGCGCCCAGCGCCAAGACTTGAAAAAACAGCTCTTCAGTGTGCGCGTGCACATTGGTCTCCCAGGCCGCAGGAACAAGCGTGTCAATGCGGTGCGCAAGGTGTGCCACTGCCTGCGCAGGCCACTCATCAGGATCTCGCACAAAAGCAGCCTCTGATTGGCGCCGGACCGGAAGGCGGTCAGAAATCTCAAAGGAAACATCAACCACCACCGGGAAGTGGTCCTTAGAGAAGCTCGAAATCTCGCCAAACAGTCGGAACGAGGCCCCTGGATCTCCATGACATCGGGAAGGCGATATAGTCAAGTCGACACTCGCAGCCAGAGGGCGAAACCCAAGTGCCTTCGGAAGCCGAGGGAACGCAGTCACCAGCAGAATCGAAGTGAGTGGAGGGAACAAAAAAGTCAACCTCGGTCGCCCAATCCCGGAACAGAGCCCCCGAGGAGTTCTCAACACTGCCCGCATGGCAGCCGATGCTGTCTGACACGACTGATCCAACCTGGGCATTGGCATCGACTAGGAGAATGACACGCCCACTGTAGGCCTTGACCCAATCAAATTGCGCCAACTCGGTCCACCACTGCGTGCGCACAGCAAGAGAGTGCGCTGAAGTGGGCGCATGTGCTGCTACAAAGACAGCCTGCAAGACGGGAGCCTGCACCTTAATCGCAAGACACTGGGGGGAGGCATGCAGGCAGGTAAAATGCTCCATTTGGAAGAAAAGCGGCTGCTTTCCCTGATGCGCGTAGGGCTGCACCCTGTTGAAAAGCAGAGAGCATCCCCCTTCGCCTTTCAGCGCAGCGGTGGAGAATTCGAAGAAGACCTGACCTCGGACCTGCTGCTCCCGCGAGGACCGGGTCTCTTGGAGGCCAATAACTCCAGCCCCTGTGCTTGCGAGCTGCTGCCATATCAGCTGGCGTTTGTTTTTAAGTGTCTGCACATTGCAGGAGACAACTCGAAAAGCAACTTTGGCAACACACGGTGGAGCCTCCGCAACAATCGGCTTTGGCCAGCAGTGGTCTGGAGGCGCATCACGCTGCTCATATTGCCCAGACGCAAGGGCCTCAAGCGTGGGGAAGGCAGGATTACGGGAAGCCGTCAACCATGCCCAGGCCAGTAGATCATGTTGCAGAAGCTGCCAAAATGCAGCCGGAAGCTTCTGGTGAAGCTGTTGCCTGGCTCCCGCCTTCGCGACCCTGTCAACAAATTCGTTGAAAGGGTTGCCACAGTGGCCTGGTAGCCACTCCGCTTTGCCACAGGCCCCGGGCCGATGCTCTTGAAGCTGTGCGACGAAGCGAAGCCGTTGTGCAAGGGAGACACAACTGGCTCCATTTTTGGCCGACATCGTACCCTGAAGCAGCCCGCAGACAGCCGAGCAATCACACCAGATCGTGACCGGAAGGCCCTGGGGAAGGGCCAAGGACCAGCACTCCCCAATAATGGCCGCAGCAACTTCGGCATTGAAAGAATCCAGCATGGTGCCCAGAGGCCTGCCGAGAAACGGTTCAAGACTGCCGCCTGCAAAGCCTCCAAAAGCGAAGGCGCGCCTGCTAGGAAGGGCAAGCTCATACACCACCGCAAGTCCCCAACCACAGGGCTGACCAGCCGCTTGCTTCAGTTGTGATCCGTCCACAAAAAGATGCACATGCGTTGGGACGGCGGTCAAAGCCTCGCACTGCGAAATGGCCTTCCAAAAGCAGTTGGGAACGTCATCAATGATGCTGGCGTCTTGTTGCAGGAAGCCAGCCAGGGAAGGGCCAAGGCGTCAATGCAGGGGCGAAGGTCCTGAACGATCAGGCGGCAATGCGCTCGCAAGGGCGATACACCGGCTCGGTTCTGCACTGTCAAGGTCAGAGCGGGCCTCAGGCCTGGCAGGAAGCTGTGTGCGCCCAAAAGGGGTAGGCTGAGCGGTGGAGGGGCCGTTGGCAGAGTGACCCCGTTGTCCAAAGGGCCCACTCCATCCTGTTCATCACACCGAAAGGAGCCCTCACGGCAGGGGCACACGAAATTTGGGTGCAATTTTTGGAGCTGTTCGCAGCGCTTGCTCTGTTTGGCCCGAAAGTCAGGTAGCTGGATCAGGGCCGTACCGCCGACGGAGGGGGGCGGGGGCGGCGGACAAGGCTGAGCGGGTGCCGCAACTGCCGCAAGCGCTGCTGGAGGAAACGGCAGCCTGTTCCATGTAGAAGATCAGAGGCCACGCACACCTCGCGACCCTGAAAATCTCAAGCAAGTCACCGTGTTGGTGTCTTCTCTGCGGCCGCCGGTATGCCACTCCTTGCGGGAGCGCTAATTGAAGCTCGATGTGCTCAGGCAACACCGCGTACACAATGTAGTGTCCGGCAAAAGACAAACACGGCGCCAAGACGGTACGGTACATGAACTGGGAGGGTGCTGAGACGAACACCGTGCGCTCTGAGATGCTCGTAGCAGATGATCGGTGTGTTTCCAACATGGCCGGCGGACAGTCATCAAGCAGGGCAAGCCCCGCCTGCATCTCAGAAAGAGAGGGAACGACAGGCTGCCCGAGGTTGAAAGCGATCGGCCCATGATGGATTCCCAGGACCAGGCAACCTCCCTCGGCTGGATGAAAGGCACCTTGCGCCCGACGCCGCAGACGCGCACACCCTGGAACATCAAGAGAAAACACCCCGTCACCAACATGCAGAGGCCATGTGAAAGGCAGGAGGACAGGAAGCTGGCGCAGGAGCCAGCTTGTAGGAGTGAATGGCGGTGGTCCCTGCCCTTCATCAAACTGAATGAAGTCACCCTGCATGGCCCATTTCGGGGCCAGTCGTGCTGGAGCGCCATTTACCACAACGGAGACTCTGCGCTGCACACCATCGGCAGAGATCAAGCTGTCACACATGGTCTGCGGGGCCACATGATGCGAGCAAAGAGGATGCCCGCCAGACCTTTCATCGACCACCACTGTTGCAGTCCGATCGTGCACGGAGTTGCACAAAAGAAACACAACCTCGTGCTGACCATCACAAGGGGCAGGCTGCCCTGCCGCCATCATCAGGTAGAGCGGCCCACGGTCCGGGTAACCCTGGGCAAGCACCTCACGAATCAACCTTTCAAGGATGGCATCGGCCTGTAGGCAGGGAGCCTGAACAATGGCACTGTGGGTGTGTGGCCCACAGAGCATGGTGAATCGAAAGGAACTGACGCTAGGGACAGGGCCGGTAGAAGTCGTGGAGGTGGTAGAAGAGGTTGACGGAGGCCCATCAACCGGCCAAAAGAAGGGAGTCGGGAAAGCAACCCAAGGATCAGTCAGCGCAAACCCAGTAAGGCCAGTGAAAGCTGGCTCAACGACAAAGTGTTGCACTTCTGTCAGTATGGGCGGGAGCGCAGCCCCCACTATGCCGGAGGCGTCCAGCACAGTGCCTCAAGGGGATCGCAGACACGCTGTTCCTCGTCGTCGGGCAGCACAGCTCTGAGTCTTGCCACGGCATCAAGCAGCGACTCTTGCGGCTTACGATTGACCGTGTAGATGTCTCCACCCACGGGACGTAGGTCCCAAGGTATGGGCACATATCCCAGCGGAAGCTGTCGCTGGTACAAAACCACCTGTGGCTGCGGCAGATTGGCAACTCCTTTCATTAGGATCTGTACGGCGCCCACTTGGAAGGGGGCCGCCGACACAGCAGCTCTGATGATCGCAGCCAGGGTGCCTTCCCTTGGTCTGGGTGCCGTGGTAACATGCCGAACAACATCAAGGATTGGCGCGACTCTCCCGCATCGGTGCCCCAAGAGTAGGCATCGACGTTGGCCTGCTGGAACCGGGCTGTCGTGAGAAAACCGGGGAGAACTGTCAGAACATCAACGGCACTGCCTATCCCCGAGGATTTTATCTCGGAACCCGAATGCCGCAACAGCAAAGCAGGAGGCTCGGCATCTGGAGGGACACACTCTGGCGGCGTGCCGACCGGCGTCTGAGCAGGGCCCGTCCAAGGGACCTGCATGAGAGTGGTCGTGGAAGTGGAAGAGGCAGTCCCAGGAGTGCTGCCGGCAGCACGTAGAGCCTCAATGACGGCCGCAGTGGCACCACGCGGTGGATCAAGCGGTGGAGGAGCCCTGGGAACCCGGAAAACAAGGGGACCTCCCCCCACATACTCAACCCCAAATGACGGCTCGTCCGGGCGATTGGCCGAAACAACCTCCAACCCTTGCTGCTCGGGGAGTGAGCCGGTTTGCTGCTGGCCGTGGCCCGCCTGGTCCCTCAAGTGAAGCCGTCCCTGACGCGTTTCCTCCGCCGCATTGTCAGAGGCCACGACCCCTTTCTCACTCAACACGGGCCAAAGTGCTGCAACATCAAGTTCGCGTGGTGCGCGCACAACATGTAACATACCCTGAACAGCGCGAAGATCAACCGGCAGAGTGCGGTGCTCAATCGGCAACCCAACCGGTGCCAGCAAAAGCTGAGGACAGGGATAGCCTGGAATGGGCACCTCAAGGAAGAACGCCGAGTGGACTCGGTAAGCCCCTGGCGGATCGCATGAGCAACGTACTCAGTAGGAGTCCAGTCCGGCAGGGCCCGGCGAACAATGGTGTCACTGCGGTACTCCAAGATAGTGCATCTAGGGTCACTGCCATCGTCACTTGGCCCCAAACCGAGCCTAGGAAGGTCACGTGCCTTCGCATGCAGGAAGGGGCCGGCAAGCCAGGATGGACCAATATGGACCTGGGAAGCAAGGATGACGTGCAAGTCAGTCACAGTAGGCCTGGCAGAAAGAGGGCGCACGGCGGGAGTGCGCTCAGGGGGCATGGCTGGAGCCGCCCAAGGGAAAAATGGCGCGCCAAGGTTCGACAGGGAACCGGCCTTGAAACGCCCATCGCCACATTCATAGCCCCAACCAGGCAAAGCCCCTGCACAAAGAAAGGAGCTCGACTTCGGCATCTGGCCAGACCCTAGGAAAGAAGGTGTCACGCCAAGGCTCGACAGGGAACCGACCTTGTAAGGCGCACCGGGAACATGTTCTTCGACCTCCGAAAGGGCTGGACAAGCCCTGGGAATCGGCAAGCGGCACTGCGTAGTCCTGGAAGTGACTGCAGCGTCAAGGCTCGACAGGGAACCGACCTTGGAACGCGCACAGGGTCTACCGCGTACAGGGAAGCAGGGAGCTCCTGGCAAGGAGCAGGATGGCATGAGAATGCCATGGAAGGAACGGCTGCGTCAAGGCTCGACAGGGAACCGACCTTGGAACGCGCCAGAGAGCAATGCGGTGAGAGGCAGAAGGGAGACCGCAGAGCCGGCCATAAGGAAACCTCCGGTGTCGGAAACGGAGGGGAGTGAAGGCTGCCAAGGCTCGACACGGAACCGACCTTGCAGAAGCCGGGGCACAGGTGATGATTGAACTCACGCTTCCAGGACATAGCCTGGTCCGGCAGAGGCCCGAAGTGCACCCCGAGTGCCATCGTCCTTGCCCCTGCCTTTGCCACGCTTGCGTGGCGATTGGCCACGCTGCCTCGGAGAGACCGGGCACTGCACCTCCGGCTTGGCCCGGTCTTGCCATGAACCCCACTGGTTGGGGGCTCGGGCAGCATCCCAGCGACCCCCGCACCCACTGCAGAAAGCCGCTGATGACTTGCACCACCGGTTGCACGAATAACACCACCACGACGTTTTGCTGGTCGCCATTGTGCTCAAAACTTTCAATGCCCTCGTCGGCAAAGAACTCCTCGAGTGGTGCTGCGCCAGCCTCTGCGCTGAGCGCTTCACTTGCTCCGCCGCCAGAAACTTGCCGTCCAGAGAACTGCGGAGCCTGTGACGATCTTCGAGCCTCAAACGCCTGATCCGGCGATGCCACGCCGGTTCCTTTTGAGCTTTGCGTCCAGCCGTCACGTGTCACCACAACCAACCAGAGAAGGAGGTGGCGCGCAGCGCGCAGCATAAAAGGGCAAAAGCCCGACTCCCTCGCGAGGCGTACAGGAGTCCCGCCAATCCAGCCACGAAGTGGGGAAAGGCGCGAAGGCGTAGAAGGCAGAAAAGAGGAAGGCCGAGTGCCGCACTTGCGGTCGCACTCGCCGATGTCGCGGGCCTGACTTGGCCTCGCTTGGGTTCACTCCCGGAATGGCGGACCTCGACGAGGAAACTACGCCTTCCCTGGGAGCCAGAACGCCTGGTTTACGGACTTTAGGGTTTAGGGTATAAGGCCTAGGGTTAAACCCTCGGGCCAAGCCGTCGGTGCTTTCATGAAGGCTTTGAGTTTCCAACCCCCCATGAAGTTTCGTGCTGGTCGGGATTCGAGTTAGGAACCTGATTAAGAAACCTTGGGCCTTTATTGGGGTTCCTTATATGAATCCCATTATTCTGGGGTTATAGGCCGACTAAACTCTCAGAGATTTCGGGCTTGAGTTGAAAAGGTTTGGCTCCAGAGAACCAACTTGTACGTGCCACCGGGCCACCATTCGCAAGTGCTGTTCCATTCTGTTCCATAGTGTAGCTATACACGGCTATGTCCTACAGTATGCCGTCTTTTTGCGCATCTCTCCGGCAAGATCCTGGCATTAAGCGAAAACTCCTGAACCGCAAACCCACAGCTATGAAAACTATAAACAAAACTACAAATTCCTTGTCAAACCGACCGCGAACCCTGCAAACCCTGGCGACACAAAAAGACTAGGCTACTTGGCAACGTCAGAAGTGCTACTTGGGAACGTCAGAAGCAGACTCGGAACGGTTCGGGGTCTGGGGCTTTACGCGCGGTGGTCAGGATCTCGAGTTGCGACAACCGAAACCCTAAGCCGGGACCCGAACATAAAAAGTTGGGGTTTTGCAGTTTAGGATACCCTAAACACTGAACCCTAAACCCTACGCCCAAGACGCAAACCCCCCCGGCGAGCTGAGATGCACATGGCGTCCAAACCCTGCTCAAGCACTTTTTGGCCTAGTGCGCAGGTCAACCTTCATGTCCGGTAGCCCAAGGTTCAGGGTTTTCAGGGTTTAGGTTTTCGGGTCTAGGGTCCAGATAATCATATGAACACAGCGATGGCGGGCTGTATACTATGATTGCAATAGCGAACTTGGAGGAATCTGTTGCTGCCTGTTCAGGCCTCTGAATTACAATGACGTCGTTCGGGGGTCATCTGCTCGGCTGCAGCTCTCGGCTGCGATGGTGCAGGAGTCGCACCGTCCACTGCGGCTCCAGTTTTGGTCGCATCCCCAAGAGGCTTTCTATGTCCAAGGCTGGCGCACTCTCTTTCGACCTTCGACCAGGCTAAGCTAAGGAAAATCTTAGGCGCTGGCCCAGGCCTTCGGCTCTACCTCTTCGCAGTTCCGCCCTGTCTTCTTCGTGACCGAGAGGAGCTGCCTCAAACCGAGGTCAGCGCCTCGTCCCGCCGAATCTCCGAAGCATCTCGCTCTGCGAGAGAAGACGGACCCGTGGACGTCCCACAGCATCGCGCATGGACTCCTACCTACAGCTCTCGGAGTTCGGAGTAGAGGTGCCGAGGTCGGTGCTGACATGCAGCTCAACCCGTGTGGTGGCCAAAGCCATTCTCGGTTCTTCGGACCTCGGCACACAGAATCCGTCTTGAAAGCATGGCTTTGCAAACCCGATCACAAGTTGAGGCCATGGGCTCGCTCTGGAACGACGTGTCGTTCCGTGTCGCCCCATCCGCCCCTTAGCCATCGTCGTTCAAACAAGAGTTGCTTAGTCTTTTCTCACTCTCTCTCTCTCTCTCTCTCTCTCTCTCTCTCTTTCTCTCTCTCTCGCTCGCTCGCTCTCTCTCCTCTCTCTCTCTCTCTCTCTCTCTCTCTCTCTCTCTCTCTCTCTCTCTCTCTCTCTCTCTCTCTCTCTCTCTCTCTCTCTCTCTCTATCTATCTATGTTCACCTACTTTGGTGAACAAGTACACAGGTCTAAAATGCGACTTCTTGCTGGAGTTTCCCAGGCAGCCTTCCCTAGGCAGGAGCGGGGCATCCAACAAGAAGGAAATCAGCAAGTAGTGAGCCTGTCCTCTCGCAATCTTGCTCGTGACAAGAATTCGGGGCTTAGGTTTAAGTCTTCTGCTGACGGTCTTCAAGTTTGAGGTCCAGGTTTTTTGAATGTCTTTTGCCAATTCGGAGGACCACTCGCCTCTAGAACCCTAAACCCAAAAATGCCAAACCCCTCAACCCTAAACCCTGAACCCTAACCCCTCAGCCCCAAACCCCAAACCAAGTGCTGCGCTGAGGCCGAGGCCCCACCTCGAACCTCACCACATAGGCACCGTCGGAATGCACCCCCAGCACCTGCAGCAAGCTTTTGGGGTTTAGGGGTTCGGGTCTTTTCTTTTTTGGGTTTAGGGGTCTAGGGCTTCGGGTCGAGGGTTGTTTTTTTTTCAGGGTTTGGGGTCTAGATTTCTCTTTTTCGGGAAATGAATGGCACCACGGGGTCGGGCTTACCACGATTAAACCCCAAACCCAATGTGTAGCTTTGATTTCGGGCTTAGGGTTTTTAAGTTTAGGGTGAATAGCCTAACCTCCGAAATCCCACTAAGTACCCTTACCCTTAACCCTGGTACGCTTATACTACCGATTTGCCCTGATACCCTGAGGCCTTTACACACCACAATACAAATTGTTTATACCTTTCTACACCCTGATACACCCATCTACCCCCCTATGCCCTTGTACTTTTACCCTTTATACCCTTATCCCCCTGCACCCTTCTACCGATCGATACCCCGAATCCAAGGTCCAAGCCTCAAGCCAAATCGCAACCCCTGAGATACGGATACGGAGCCAGCCTGGGCTGGGAGCCACCGCACGGAAGCGGTGCGGCCTGGGGGACTTAGGGTTTAGGGTGTAGGGGTTACTGTAGGGCAGGCCGGTTATTGTAGGGGTTACAAGGGGATACTACAATTTGAGGCTTCAGGGATCTTGGCGGTTAGGTTTCTTCAGGGTTTAACATCAAGGCTCACCACACGAGCCGTAAGCAGCAAGCTTACAAACAAGCACATTGAGGTTTAGGGCTTAGGGTGTTGACGCGAACAAGGCCACAACAGCTTCCTTTAAGCCCTTCAAGAGTTTCGGGTTCAGGGTTTCCCCTAAAAACCCTAAACCCAAACCCGAGACCATAAACTCCAAGGGCCTGTGCCCATCGTCCAGCTGACCTCAACGCGGGTGCCGAGTGGTAGGCAGCCTGGCGGAGATGGGAGCCGACTTTATTAGATTGTATATACTGCACTACCCTGCACTATACTATGCTGCACCATCCCAGACCCCGGGAGGATCTAGAAAGTAGATCCCCTAACATACTGCTAAGGGTACTTTATAGGAACCCCCCTTATGGGATCTACTCCCGGGGGTCTGGGATACTGCACATGAATGGCTTTCCAGGTCAGGCTTCTGTCGCGCCCTGGCTCGATCATAAGAGTGACATGCAGACTGGGAATATCATCACCGGAACCTGCCCTACATGAACCCCGCAAGGACCCAGGCACCTTCAGGCACGGCCGGATTCTCGAGCTGTCGCACGATCTCCTGTGACCAACCCTAAACCCTGAACCCTAAACTTTTGGGAGCTTTGCGATCTGAAGCCTACACCCTAAACCCCTAAACCCTAAATCCCTAAACCCTACACTGGGACGTCGACTTGCTCAGGGTTTGGGGGCTCAGGGCTCATAGCATGGGTTCCTTTAAAGGGGGCTTCTTTAAGGGTTCCTTTAAGGGATCTATAATATTCTATAAGGATTCTTTAAGGGAAAGCATCTATAGGATTCTATAAGGGCTCCTGTAAGGGATCTATAGGATTTAGGCTTCAGGGCTTTTGGGTTTGGGGGCTTTGTGCGCTCGGGGTTTGGTGTCCAGGGCTTTGGGTTTGGGGTTCAGGAATCATCCATCGATCAACCCGAAAGGCAACTGCCGATCCCCGCGGGCTCCCCTTAACCCGGGAAGACGACCGACCAAAAAGGGAAAAGAACTGGGGGAATGCTTCAGAGGATCAGGGGCCTGCATAGAATCGCAAGCTTCTAAGCATCCCTGTCTGCATGATGAGAGCCCTAGTGGCGACCCAGTTGTGCATAAACAAAAACCCCGGCGTCACATTCAATGCACTACTAAGTACCCCACAACCCCACGACGATTTACCCTTGGAACGCAGACACAGAAACTCGGAATCCTCCCGAACGCGCCCCAGACCCAAAAATCCCTGTACACAAGAAAAGGCTCCAAATCACAAATCTGATCTGCTCTGATGTGATAGTATACCTTAAATTCTGGTAGGGATCCTACTGTTGTATGTGTATGTGCATATGACATACAATACCTATATATATATAGATAGATAATTAGATAGATAGATCGATAGATAGATAGTAATGTGCTACCCAGCTGCTGGCTGCCGCTGCAGAAGTCTCTCGGCGCACTCACCTGAGCTACAGTTTCAAAAGGAGTTGATACGATCGGGATTTGGGGTTTGGGGTTTACGCTTTTAGCGACGTGCCAGATAAAATCTTACGGAGACTAGGATATAAGGGGGCGCGGGTTAAGAATCTACAGCTTGGGAGTGTAGACTATCGGGGTTGAGGGGTTTAGGGGTTTAGGGGTTTAGGGTTTAGGGTTTAGGGTTTAGGGTTTAAGGCAAGGAGAATCGAGACTTGTTAGGGATCCTTTTGTGAGCAGTAAAGCCCTGATCAAACCGGGTCACACTAGAGTCACTCTTAGGGTTGGGGCTTTAGGGCTTTAGGGCCTAGGCGAGCGGAATCACGGGTTTAGGGCGCTAGTGGTTCAGGGATTTTGCTGGTTTAAATGGTCTGCCATGCTAAAGGACTTGTTGCATTTACAGTTTGGGGTTCAGGGTTAAGCGTGGCGGCTTAGGGAAACCGAAATCAACTCAGGTGGTGCCTGCGAGCTTCGACAACGACATGCACACAAGTACGGAAGCACTTGGAGGCCCTTTTGACTTAGTAACTAGGATTAGTAAGCTGGGTTATGGGGATTATAATAGGGTTTCTATGGGATACTAAGTAGACTTACTAGGTCAAAAGGGCCTCCTAGCAGAGAGAAAGACCGTCAACCTGCCGACACTCTCCACTTTGCCTTCCGACGAGTCACGCCACACTGTCGTGGCTTGCTTCGCCACCTGCGCTCACTACGGCTGATGATATACATCCTGCACTACCCACAATGAGGAATATACCATAACTCTCACAGTCTAGGGTCATTAAGGTAATGCAGGAATTATATCATCACCCAAACCCTAAACCCTATAGATCCCTTAAAGGAAGTACCCTCATATCATCAACCGCAGGAACCATCCTTCTGGGCTCAGCCTCCCCATCGGTCACAACTTAAAGGATCATGGGACTTAGTAAGGGGTGTTATAAGCAAGGTAATTATACTTATTTATACCTACGTATAACCCCCAATTCATAGTAAGGCTATAAGTAAGGTAACTATACTTATAACTACTTATAACCCCCAATTCATAGTAAGGTTATAAGTAAGGTACCCATACTTATAACTACTTATAACCCCCAGTTAAGGTACTTATAACCTTACTTACTACGTCCCACGATCCTCCAAGTAGACCCTAAACCCTATAGATCCCTTGAAAGGAGCCCTTTAAGGAACCAGAATAGAAACCCTTTATCTCTTACTTACTAAGTCCCACGATCCTCCAAGTAGACCCTAAACCCTAAACCCTATAGATCCCTTTAAGGAACCACTATAGATCCCTTCAAGGAGCCCTTTTTTAAGGAACCCTTACTAAGTCCCACGATCCTCCAAGAAGGCGCCTGCAACACTCTCTCCACCAACGCATCCACCAAGTCGGTCATGTCCTGGCTGGCAAAAGGCGAAGTTCCTTTTAAAGGGTCCTTAAAAAGGGATCTATAAGGGTTACTATAAGGTGTAGTATGAGCTTTTAGGTCATGCCCGGGCGCAAAAGTTTACGTTTCGGGGATTGGGGGGTTGGAAGGGTTTGGGGCTTAGGGTTTATAGAAATTTCTATAGGGCCTAAACCCTAAACCCTAAATTTCACCGAAACGTGCTGACCTAGTTGTTCGGGCTCGGCTGGGCTTGGAAAGGCCGACAAGGGCTAAAAGGAGAGGGCCAAGAAGCCCAAATTAAACGGCCGGGAAACACCTCTAAAGCGCCACAAAGCACAAAATTTGGGTGATTTTTGGAAAGCTGAAGTGCCAGGCCCTTCTCTTTCCTGAGCCCTTGCTACGGCTGGTCTTGCGGCAGGGCTGACTCGGCGAAGCCGAGATGAGTGACGTAGGGGCCTCAATAATTAGAATAGGGTTCCTTTTGAAGTGTCCTTAAAAAGGGATTTATAAGGGCTACTATAAGGTGTAGTATGACCTTTTAGTACATGGGCCTCAATATTTAGAATGGGGTTTTGGGGGCCATGATACTACAATTATGCTACGGAACCACCAAAATAGTATATGTAATGATTTAAGCCCCTATAGGGACTGTCTTGACCCAAGTTTTGGCGGAGTTTCTTCGCTTAAACATCGACAACACCAGCCTGGTGGCCTGGGCTGAGCTGGTCATGAAAACATGCACTTTCTGTTTGTTTTCGTCTTGAGGGGCTTAGGGGTTTAGGGTTTAGGGTTTAGGGTTTAGGGCTTTAGGGTTAGGGTTCAGGGATCTAGTGCTGGCTGGATGACTCATGAAGCGACCACCCAACAACTCCATGGCTACTTCTCCTCAAAGACCCCCAATGCTCACCCGGCTCGGTTGATAGACTGTGGATAGTACAGGGTTATATATTAGTATGAGTGGCTTACCTTCCTCATAGCCATCAGGTCTCACGGTATATATGGGCGGTTGTCAATATTAGGGTCCCTTTTTGGGTCCTTGTTATACTACGGCACCCAATATTTAGGGTACCCAAAAACGGACCCTAATTTTGACAACTACCCATATGCAAGGGTCCTTGTCCCCGATGAAGATGCGATTGCCCTCCCTTCTGCAGCCGTACGCCTGGCTCCAGCAGCTCGAACACTCGGAGCTCCCCCGATGCTATCTGGGTTTACTTGGCGGATCATAGGACTTAGTAAGTAAGGTTATATGTACTTTAATGTATGTTCTAAGTAATTAAAAGTATAGTTACCCTATTGATAACCCCACTTACTAAGTCACATGATCCTTCAAGTACGGTTTAATTATGTAGGGCGTGGGCTCTGGATGTAGGATTCAGAGTCAGGCCTTCCCATATGAGAGCTTCCGAAAAGTAGGGGTACCTTAGGGTTCCTTTAAAGGGTTCCTTAGGGGGATCCTTTAAGGGTTCTATAAAGGGTTTAGGGTTTGGAGCTTCCGAAAAGTAGGGGTACCTTATTTTGGGGCCCTTACGATAAGGACTAGAGTTTATGGTTTAGGGTTTAGGGGTTGAGGGTTTAGTGAAAATTAGGGGTACCTTATTTTGGGCCCTTACGATAAGGACTGGGTTTAGCGGTTGAGGGTTTAGGGTTTAGGGTGAGAATTAGGGGTATCTTATTTTGGGGCCCTTACAATAAGGACTACTTAAGGTAAGTACTATATTAGGATCCCCTCTTTTTCGGAAACTCCCCCTCCGGGGAGGATCCAAAAAGTAGATCCCTTAATGGGGGTTCCTATAAAGTACCCTTAGTAGTTTAGGGCCCCAAACTAGGCGATCTACTTTCCAGATCCTCCCGGGGTCTGGGAGGCGACCCTGTCATTCCCCGCTCCTAAACCCTAAACCCTATAGATCCCTTTTCAGGAACCCCCATAGATCCCTTTAAGGAGCCCTTTAAGGAACCCTAACCTTACTAAGTAACTCCAAGGCCCCGCTCCTCGTACTCCTCCAGATCTGCCGTCCTGGACATCCACAACGGATAACCTTGCTTTGCAGAGCTCAGATTTGCGTCTACCCTACCCCCACGACCTGAAACCCCCATAGGGGCCCGAGAACTTACACAGATTGGAACAGGGTTTTGGGGTATGTTGTACCATAACTCTAACAAGGAAAGCCCACAATAGTATAGGTTACCTATACTATTGTGGGCTTTCCTTGTTAGAGTTATGGTACAACATACCCCAAAACCCTGTTCTACTTATAGGTAATTGTTAAGGCCCCTTTGTTCAGGGCTTTTGGGGGAGCTCCGAAGGCTCGGCTGTCCATCAGCAAAGGAAGCAGTTGCAGCGAAGCCACCGCGTTGGGCAGACCTGGGCCAAAGGAGAAAAGCTGGCTCCAAACTCATCCCCGGCAAAGCGGCCAAACTAAAGTGTTGGCTTTAGGGGTGTGGGGTTTTGAGTCCAACGTTGTGGTTGCAATGCTCAGGGCACAATTCAAAACCCCTCAAATCCAAGGTGCATGATGTGCTCCGCGAACTTCTCGTCGCTCCAGGCGTCCGATGTCCCTGTCGTCGCCTCTCCGCATCACGAAATGGCTTTCCAGAACGGACTAAGCTTCGGCGAGGTCTCCGCATGCAGAGTTCCACAAACAATTTTCCACTGGGCTCGATACACTTACCTTTGGTTCGTAGGGAATGGCGGAATGGAGTACAATTGTTATAACTACTATTACTGCCATTCTTCCATTCCTTACTAACCACAGGTAAGTACAGCTTCATGGAGTGCAAAGGCTTCTCTCAACGGGTGCTCTGCTTGAAGGGTCATGGGACTTAGTGAGTTAGGTCATAAGTACCTTACTTGGGGATATAAGTACTTGTAAGTATAGTTACCTGACTCATGACCCCAGTTACTAAGTCCCATGATCCTCCAACTAGACCCTAAACCCTAAACCCTATAGATCCCTTTTAGGAACCCCTATAGATCCCTTTAAGGAGCCCTTTTAAGGAGCTGTGTTTAAATTCGTGTCTTGGCTACCTCGTGGCTGACGTTGCGCCGAACATCGTCGGACCGGTGCGTCTTCAGGAACAAGTGCCAGAGCCTGAGGGAGCCGGTTTCGGGGTTTGGGATTTAGGGTTTTAGGGTTTAGGGGTTAGGGTTTAGGGTTTATTTTTGAGGGTTTAGGGTTTAGGGTGTAGGGTTTAAGAATTTAGGGTTCAGGGAATTTTAGTTTAAACAACTATGCCAGCACCACTTGATGCCAGGCTGCTTTACTTCCCCACTGAAATGGACAATGCCGATGTCCTGCCATCACATTCCACAGAGTTGTGACATGTGCGCTGAGACGTGGATAGAACGCATGAGGATGAATGCATCGTGTTGGAGAGCTTGAAAGCCAGCCGTTTAACGCCACGTGCGATCACACATCTCTGACTGTCAAACCACTCCCGGCCACGGGCGTCCAGGTCACTGCACTCCCGGACACGGACAGTCTCTAACTATGTAAACACTGTACACATCTGTACACATGGCTGCCCGCAGCGTAGGATTTGGATGAAGAGAGGCCAGTGACCGAGAGGCGCAGCAAAGGAATGATGGGTTGGTTATGGACGCACAGACCTGCTTGGAGGCCCTTTTGACTTAGTAAGTCTACTTAGTATCCCCTAGAAACCCCACCATAATCCCCATAACCCACCTTACTAACCCTACTTACCAAGTCAAAAGGGCCTCCAAGTGGGGTGTAATTCCAGCTTGGGTGTTGGGTGGAGGAGCCTCCCAAAGGCAGTTTCCAAAGGTGCAGTACCTTCTAACAAAAACGCCATTTAGCTGAGTGCCTTTCTAGGCTCGCAAAGCCCTGAACCCCAAAAGCCTAAACCCCCTCTAAACCCCTAAAAACCTAAACAGCCACCTCCAGTCCCATGCGCATCCGCTGCGGCATCCAGTCAAGATCGGCCTGGCTGAACTCCTGCGCCGGATGGCTTCAGGAGTTCCGGGTGTAGGGGTTTAGGGTTTAGGGGTTTAGGGAGTCGCCTTGTGCTGGCCCGGTCGTACCCCCTCCAAACCCGTGAAAGGTTTAGGATTTAGGGGTTTAGGGCTTTTCGGGTTTAGGGATTTAGGGGTTTAGGGCTTTGAGGGTTTAGGGTTTTATGGTTTAGGGTTTCAGGTTTTGGGTTAAAGGTTTTGGGTTTAAGGTTTGGGCTTAGAGTTTTGGAGTTTTGGGTTTTAAGGTGTTTGGGTGTCGGCTTGGGGACTTGTGGGCCTCTGCAGCTTGGGGATTTGCGGAGGCTCTGCATCGGGATTAGGGTGAAAGGGGTGCAGGGACTTTGAAACGGCGGGGGATAAGTAAGCTCAGAGGTGTTGTGCTGCGATTATTCTAAGTCCACTGATCATTTTTGTGAAATCTTAGTGAAGGATTTAGGGGCTTTGGCATGTCGGGTTTAAGGGGTTAAGGGGGCCCGGTGCTTGGCAGAAGGGAACTGGTGACTTGGTCGCCAAACGCGGTTCTGAATTCTATAGTTGGGCTTGTAGCACTTCCTGTATTGCTTACTTTTCCCCGGATCCTCGAAGTACTGATGCTTCAACAGCCCAGCCTTGCCAGAGGTGACCATGAAACGGTGCCACTCGATGATGCCTTCAACGGCACCGCGTCTTTATCTTCGGGGGTCCGTTCTCTCAGCGCTGCGCCACTTGCAGCTGAGGCACGCTCAACAGAGAAGAGCGACTGATGCAGCTGGTAGTTCCAGGCTACGCTGATCTGATGCCTGGGGGGTGACACAGGGGAGGCCATCTAGGTGTAAAAAAAATTTGGCTGATGCCCAAGTTCGACCAAATGCCGATGAGGAGCCACGGAGAGTCCCTCCTTGAAGCGAAGAAGCGCGACAAGTAATCCTGTTCGGGCCCGTTCCCTGCGATGTGGCAGGGATGATTCTTGCCTCAGACACGCCACGCTAGGCTCTTGCGAAGCACATTAGGGCCAGGGGCATAAATGATATAAAGGACCTGAGACTCTTTCCTACAGTACTTAAAGCAGGCTCCTTAACAAGAACCCGGCATGAGCTCCCAGAGTGACGGCACAACGGTTCTGAAAGCCGAAGCAATTGAAGGAAAGCTGAGCCGCAGGTCACCTGTCAGGGTTTAGGATTTATGGCTTGAGGTTTGGAGCTTGGGCTTAGGGTCTGAACGATTTGGGGGGATTGGGCTTTAGGGACTTCTTAAATGCAATGGGCCCCGCTGTCGTATAGAAGAGTTCGAGAGCTCAAGGGTTGAGGGCTTAGGCTTTGGGGCTTCGAGTTGACGGTGTAGGGTTTGGTGTTTGGGGTGTATTAGGGTTTTTAGGTTTAGCGTTTAGGGTGACTTCGAAAATCTTCCAAGCTGAGTGATCAAGGTACTCCCAGATTTAACGCTATATTTACCCAACTGAAGGTTGAAGCACTTACAGCCTTCAAACCAGACCCCTGAACCCGCAACGCTAAGCCCTGAGACCTCGCTTTTTTTACTTTGGGGTGTAAGCCCCTAAACCCCAGTCCCTAAGCCCGGCCCAACCTCCGAGTTCATCTGCCGGAACATCTCGGCATCGGGCTGCAGAAGTATCACGCCCGCGTTGATGCCGCCCGTCTGCCCCCAAGGATATTCCTGCACTCTGGAAAAACGCAAAGATATCAAAAAGCCTGGAGAAAAATCTGCAAACCCCTCATGTCCAAAGAAGCTTGGATGACCCTAGAAAAAACCTTTCAACGCACAAACCCTTCCAGACCTAGCAACCCAAAAATGCTTTCAGCAGTCCTGGTGGTCTCCCCCGGCGAAAAATCTCCTCCCGTCCACCTCCTTGCCATGGTCGTTCTCCTGGGCACACGGCTGGTACTCATAGAAAAAACCCAAAGACCGTGCCCCCTTATAGTAACCCTTTAAAGGAACCCTTATTGTAAACTTATAGTAATAACAACAATAAAAAAAACAAGCAGTTTTAACAACTAACAAGTACAAAAAGGAATGAGAATGAGAATGGCACCACTAACATGACCTAGAAATCGTCGGGCTGCAGCCTTGAGAGGGCTTAGGGCTCAGGGATCCGGGTTCATGAGTTCGTGAAGACTATGCACCAGGAACGAGATGGATCATGCAGCTACTGCTTCAAAAGCTAAAGGCCCCCTGCATGCCCCTGAGCATTCAGGGTGAAGAAAGTAGGAGGAGGAGTGCCTGGCTTGGAGATGAATATAGGGGCCGAAATCATTACAAGTATTAATCTTTGGGATCCTTATTATCAGTATAGTATAATGGGCCCCAAAACCCTATTCTAATTACTAAGGCCCGTACAGTAGAGTAGTGTCGCTCTGCTTCCTCAGAAGTGGGCCTTTCAGATGGGCACCTTCTCAACCTTGCATGCGGGGACTTTCTTTGCGGGCTCCTGGTTTAGGCACGACAACAGCTCTGGAGTGGAAGCACAATTACTTAGAAGAGGCCCCCACCCTGTAATAGTGACTATAAGGATTATATTAGGGCCTTATCATATTCCTATTATACCACTATTACAGGTTGGGGGCCCCTTCTAAACAATTACACGGAAACCTAGAGACCCTAGGCCAGGAAATCCCGACATACTCAAAGTCGGAAAGGGAAAACGACAGAAACAAAGCACCCACACAAAAACCACAGAAATGATAAGATTGAAAGACGAGAGCGGTACAAACATGATGATAAGAATACTACCCATTCTTGTAACAATACTGATGATAGTAATAAGCACAATACTGATAATGAACATGCTAGTAATAACAATGACAATAACAATATCAATAACAATAACAGTAACAGTTGTAGGCATAATCATGGGAGTGGTAGCGATAGAATCATCATCATCATCATCAAACAGCAATCATAACAATAGCAATAACAATAACCATAATAAACAATAATAGTAACGATCAGTCGTAATAGTTGCAATAACAATAGTCATAAAGGAAGTAATAATCATACTAGTTGCAATAACATTAATTTTAGTGAATGTAGTAATCATACTAGTTGCAATAACATTAATCATAGTGAATGTAGTAATCATACTAGTTGCAACAACATCAATCATAGTGAATGTAATAATCATACTAGTTGCAATAACATTAATCATAGTGAATGTAATAATCATACTAGTTGCAATAACATAATCATAATGTAATAATGAATGTAACAATCATACCAACAATCATGTTGACAGAAACAATCATTGGCCGAAGCTGCGCCCTGGCCACGGACCATGGCAGCCGGACAGGGAAGGTCAAAGAGTTCGTCCATGGGCCGGAACCTTTGACTAACCTCTAAACCGAGATCGGCTAAAAAGCGCCTAAACCTCAAGACCTTCACTCCGAAAGCCCCAAAACAAGAGGCTTCGGAGCTTTAGGGGGTTTTGGGGATTTTAGGGATTTAGGGGTTTGGGGATGTAGGAGTTGAGGGTTTAAGGCTTCGGGGTTTGGGGATGGGGTTTCGGGTTTAGGGTTTGGGGATCTACAAGCGTAGTATTTGAAGTGTAGGGGTTCAGGGTTTGGAGTTTGTTGGGCTTTGAGGTCGGGGCTTTGGGGTTTAAGGGTTTAGGGTAACCCTAAACCCCAAAACTTCCACAAACCCGAAACTCCAAACCAGAAATAAACCCTAAATCCCAAACCCTAAACCCAGCAACCCCAGACCCCCAAACCCGATTTTTCGGGTTAAGGTTTGGGGTTTGGGTATGGGGGTTGAAGGCTTTCGGTTTAAGGCTTCTAGGCTTTTAGGCTTCAGGCTTTGGGGTTTAAGGTTTGGGGCGTCAGCCGGTCATCCGACTCCGCAGATGACGTGATCTGGGAAAATTTTAAATTAACCCTAGACCTGCAGTGCACGAATCTGAACCGGGATCCCGGGCACTTTTTTTCACAGGCTGATATGTACAGTATCTCCCGTTTGGAGTACCAGCCCCCGCGGTGGGCGCCTCACTCGAGGGCAGCACACCACCGGGTCGTCTTCTGCCAAAAAACCGCAACCTGCAGGCAGGGACCGCTTGGTGTATGTTTCTGTACGTATATAACGTGTGTTAGGGTTTAGGGTTTAAGGGCATATACATGTAGCATTTCGCTCATGACTGTACGTGAGTTTATAGATAATATGACAGTAGATGTAATAGTCTCTCCTGTCCACGACAATTCATCCGTTTCATGCAACACAGGAGGCCATTGTGGAGCGGGCACTGATGGCCTGGCAAAAGCCGGAGTAGCAGAACTGGAGGATGCAGGATCATCACCCCCTGTCGTGGCGTCATCGTCATCTTCCTGCGGGGTGTGACTCTGAGCAGTTCGTCGTCTTTTGGTATTTGGCCGCACCTCAAATGCTTTGCATTGAAGACACACGCACACACACACACACTCAATTGAGGATGCATTAGGACACTCAATTGTGACTGAAATGTTATTTATCCTTGAAGCTGAAGCGAAATTGTAGTGTTGCTCCCAGCTGCTGCTGCTGCTGCAGCAGTTCCTCTTGTCTTCTTCTGATTTCGCTGAACTGTCTTGGCAGGTTGGTCCACGGGGTGATCCTGCTTGTCCTGGACCATTCTTCTTGTCAAGTTCCTGAGTCAGTGTGTTATGTGTTGGCACTACAGGCAGACTGCAAATCAACTCACAGCGCAATTCGAGTCAAGCCACCCCTGGATGCAAGCGTAATCATTCTCTCCAAACAGTTGGGTCCATGTCGCCCAAGCATTGCTCAATGCTGCCTTCCATTGCTCCGACGTCCAACCAATGGACGGCAGGAGTTGCTTCTGCTTCCTGATCCACACTTTGGCAGAACCATGGATTACATTTAAAATTTATTTACTACAACCTCAAAACAACAATTGGAAATTTGAAGTTGCTCAGCGACACAGCATGGCCCAGGGCGAAGTCGATAATGTGCTGTGGATCGGCAGCATTTTTTTTCCGCGTGAGTTCTCGGCTAAAGTCTCCAACCATACGATGCAGTCGATGCCGCAGACCTGCACTGCCAGCTGATACAAAAATCTACACGACTAATACACAATTGAGTGTCACAGTCAATGAGTCAATTCAGCACAGCGACTTTGAAGATAGCCATCACCAATGCAATCATTGCACACGTCCTGTGGTAGCCCGCGGAACAGCAGATCCTGACAATTGAAGGACCACGTAGGAGGGTTACCATTATCCTAATCCCTGAACCTAAACCCCGCAAAAAAACGAACTACAAGCCCCAAGAACTCCAAGACCTTCAGCCCCAGTAAAGTCGGCACTTTTTGATGAAGGCCGGGATGCGGGATGATGTCCAAATCAAGGAGCAAGACCTTCCTCAGATTTGGTCAGATGATGGAACGTCCGACACTGGGCACAACATGCTCAACAGGGGAGCTACGGTGTTTCCGAGATTCTTGTCAAGGAACCTAAACTGAGTTGCCTTGGCAAGGAAAGTGTCTTGTGCACCAAACAGCCACATCTGGGTAACTTGCCATAAGTCAGAGACAATCCTTATAGAACCCTCTAGCAGCACGCCATCGCATACTTAAAGGATCCGTCGACGTGGCAAGCAGCTGACCACGGAGCTCAGGGCTTCAAGCGCGGGTCTCTCAGAAACGGGTGTACCCGAAGACTCCAATATCCCTTAATTAAGGAGTATACCTTAAATTGTAGTAGGATCCCTAATCTGATTTAAGGAATATTCCCTCATTCAGGGATATTGGTTAGAAGCTGCCCCCACCCAGTAATAGTGGTATAATAGGAATATAATAGGGCCCTAGTATACTCCTTATAGTCACTATTACTGGGTGGGGGCAGCTTCTAAGATATTGGAGTCTCTGGGTAGGGTTTACGGTCTACAAGATGGGATTATAATTCCGCTGTTTCGGGTCAATACTTGGAGGCCCTGTTGACTTAGTAAGTAGGGTTAGTAAGGTGGGTTATGGGGATTATAATGGGGCTTCTAGGGGATACTAAGTAGACTTACTAAGTCAAAAGGGCCTCCAAGTACTTGTGAGATCACATCCAAGCCTTTCAAGTCTTCGGGTCTTCTGATAGCCAAGAACCCGAAGTAAAACCCGACAAACACCCCAAGATAAGACCGCCGACTACGTATAATTAAGGCTCTATCTGAAACACCAAGGGAATCAAAAACTATCCCAAATCGATGCCTGGCATACTACCTTCAAACCCTAAACCCTAAACTTTGGCCCTAAACCCCTAAACCCCCAAAGCCTAAACCCCTAAACCCCTAAACCGTTACTCTTTCCAAGCCTTTTTTAAACGCCCTGAACCTGAAAGAAAACGCGCGCCAAGCGACTCGAAGTCGGTCAGGCTCCAGGCCGCCAGCTTTGTGAAGACGCCGTCAAAGATATCTCGGCTTAGGGGGTTTAGGGGTTTGGGGGTTTAGGGGTTTGGGGTTTAGGGGTTTAGGGTTTTTTTTTTTTTAGGTGCAACGGGTTTGGGGGTTTAGGGTTTAGGGTTTAGCGTTTTAGGGTTTGGGGTTATCATAAACATCTTCGCAGAAGCACTTGACTTGACTTGGGGACTTACAGGGCTCTTTTGCGTTCCCTCTCTTTGAGGTTTTAGGGCTCAGGGTGTAGGGTTTAGCTTTGGGGTCTAGGCTTTAGGAACCGAGGTTTAGGATTTAGGAACCGGGGTGTAGGATTTAGGAGCCGGGGTTGAGGTTTAGTAGCCAGGGTTCAGCAGCATTTGACTTGAGGACTGAAAGGGGTTTCATGCAGCTTTACTGCGGGTTTTAAAGTAGGGTTCTCTATGAGGGTCTCAGAAGAGGGTATAGTGCCTGAGGTTAACTGATATGGGCTCTGAACGGGTGCAATGAGTTTTTGTTGAATTAGGCTGTTAACTACAAACATTTTTATAGCTGTTTCAGGCAAGGATCAAAAAAGAAGGTTCTAGAAGTCTGTTGAAAGGGTTTGGTTGAGGCGTCACTAAAGAAATTCGCTTGCACCATTCAGAGCTGGACAGCACCCCTCTCAAGAGCTTTAGACGGCAATCCTTGGCAAAACCCGCAACAAGCGAAGCTACGCCGCACCCTTCCAAGTTGAAGGACTTTGGACCAACAGATGGTTCTCCACATTCGGGGCACCTGCTTCAGGAGTTCCTACCCTACGGACCCTGCAATGTCGGGTGGATTTCAAAGCAATTTCTGCTCAACTCCACAAAAACTGAAATGCAGTGGGGCGTCTCCCCTTGCTGACATAGAGATCCTCCACACCATCGATATAGTTCACCTGGCTGAGGGTTGAAACGTGAAGTCATATCGCCAGACAGCAGTACTTGCAAGGAGGGGAGCACCCATTTTTAATCAGGCTTTATGACGGGATACAGAGAAATACTAGAAGCAATATCGCCGTGCCTCTGCAGGATTGCTCCAGCTTGCATATTTTGGGACAGCTTGTGTTTGCTATTCTTTTCACAGGCACTCATCGTAAGACTAGGAGCAATCCTCAACGAGTCAATGAACCCTGAACCCTAAACCCTAGTCTAGGGGCCTTAATGATTAGAATAGGGTTTTGGGGCCCATGCTACTATAGAGCCCCAAAAATGGTATAGGTAATCATTTAGGCCCCTATATGGGAGTTTCCGAAAAGAGGGGACCCTAATATAGCACCGTAAATAGCAGGATCCTTGTTAGAGGGACCCCCAACCAAGGTACCCCTAATTTTCGGAAACTCTACACCCTAAACCCCTTATAGAACCCTTGTAGAGCCCTTTAAAGAAACCCTTAAAGGATCCATTGACGCCCCTATATAAATCCTTTATGAGAGCAGTGCCTCCTTGAGCTGCCAAAGGCCATCCTGCGCAAATGCCTCGAGGTAGTTCGGTGGCACGTCGTCCGTGTGCCTTTGGCTCATTAGGGGTTTAGGGGTTTAGGGTTGAAGGTTTAGGGATTAGGGTTTAGGGCTTAGGATTGAGGAAGTCCAGGCGATAGGAGTTGCAGCTTCGCGTCCAAGATATCCACTTTGGGGTCCAGGGTTCAGCACATCCGTACTCTGACACCTCTAATCAAAGTACTAACAACATAGCCACTATGTGTCCTATATCTCCCGATACATTACCAGAAGCTTAAGCTACATGACTGACCCTAAACCCTAGCGAGGCCCAGCTGCAGCATCACCCGCTCGATGTCGGGAGAGAGCTCACGCAGGCGCACGCCAAGAACCACGGCACCTTGCTACTCAGAGTAAAAACTTAGAGGAAAGTCGGACGACCTGTTGACTAGGTCCCCTGACCCTCCTGAATACATACATACATACAAACATACATATGTACATACGTACATGCGTACATACGTACATACGTACATACGTACATGCATGCATACATACATACGTGCTTCTTCTTCCTCCACCGCCGCAAGAGAGTCCTGTGTTGCTACACCGGCAGCTTCGAGCTGGCATCATTCGCTGATGCATGCCGACTCTTTCGATGCATAGGACTGCGTGTAGTGCACATACATACATGCATACATACATAGTACCGTGTATGATCATGAACCTACCACTATACTTGTGTTCGCTTATCCAAAATAAAATACATGTCTCGGTGTACATGTGCTACTATTTATACGTACGTGTGTTTGTGTGCTCGTTTCTTTACATCAGGACCGGGCGCCCAAAGCGTAGCCGGCGTTGGCACCCCAGAGGGAGCCGACGAACGCGCGGCGACCGCTCGGATGAGACTCCTGCCGCCCTAAGGCTTTATACAGGTTTTAGGGTAACTCTCCGAGTAACTATAAAAAGGGTGTGAATCAAAGGCTCTATGTGGATTTGTGGATCTGATAGGCTATAGGATTCTATAGAAGTTCTTGGCTTTATAGGGTGCTACAGCGGAGTCTTCTGGGATTCGATGAGGGTTTCGGGACTGGGGTTTGGGGCCTCCAGGCTTTGCGGGCTTTAGGGTTTTAGCGTGCCTGGCGGCGGAGGGCTCCATGGCTGGCTTTAGATGCTAAGGCTTCAGGATTGTTTCTGGCGGACGCTGCACACTTGTAGGCAACCGTGCTCCCCGCGAACCTTGAAACAGATCTTGAAACAAAACTGAAGCAGCCCTGCAGGCTAAACCCCGAGGTCCACCCACAGACAGAGCTTCGGGTGCATGGCTTCTTCTGGCAGGTGACTCGCCAGTGAGGAATGTTGGATCCAGGCGCAGACCGAAAGGGCTCAAGATTTCAAGCGAACGGGCGGCCTTCCATCCCTCCGCCATGCCATTGACCGTCACCTGGCTCGGCCCGAAGCACGTGTGGTTTAAGGGGCTCGGTGGTGACTATCGTTTTATGAATCTGGAATTCCTGCGGTGTGATACGACTGATGTTTCTGTTAATCGTTTCGCTTTGGCTGCCAGCAGTATTAGAACTCGTATTTCGTGCTTGACGATTGAACCGAGATCCCATCCCAGCCAAACATCCGTGCCTCAAGCGGGCGTCGACAGCATGGGCAGTTCATGTTGTACCATTTGTAGGTCTGACCTTGGTGTGGGCGGTTCAGAATACTTGTATATGAGGATGCTAGCGCGTTGAGGGTTGTGGTTTGAGGGCTTGGGGCCACTTAAGGGCAACCTCTTGGAGCCGTAAACCCTAACGAATACAGTGGTAATTTCTCAGGCATCGATACGGGAGTTTCCGAAAATTAGGGGTGTTCCTTATTTGGGTGGTTTCTTATAAAAAGGACCCTAAAATTTCGGGTGCTATATTAGGGTCCTCTATTTTGGGAAACTCCCATATTCGGCCCTAAACCCTCAACCCTAAACCGTTCGGGCAAGGTGCCATACTGGTCGGGGCGATACAAGATCTGCTCCGTCCTTGTCAGCGGCGATTGAAGACGCAGAGTCCCCCAAAAATGCTGCTGCTCCATCTCTTGCTTCTCCTTCTCCTTCTCCTCGACCGCACTTAAGATAGGGTTCCTTTTAAAGGGGTCCTTAAGAAGCGATCGATAAGGGCTACTGTAAGGGCTACCATGATAAGGGAATAATACAGGGGCCTTAATAATTTCAAAGGGGTTTTGGGGGGGGCATATTCAACTAGAATTATAATAAGGAACCCCCAAAATAATCTTGGTAACTGTTTAGGCCCCTATATTAGAAGATTAAAAACAGGTTCTACGTAAGGGTGTGGAGAGTCCGTCTGAGCTTCTTGGCCTGAGAAACTCAGTTATACCATCGTCCACTTGGAGGACTTAGTAAGGGCTCCTTAAAGGGATCTACGGGGTTCCTTAAAGGGATCTACAGGGTTTAGGGTTTAGCGTCTACTTGGAGGATCATGGGACCTAGTAAGTAAGGTTATCAGCACCTTAATTGGAGTTCTAAGTAGTCTTGGGTATAGTTACCTTATTTGCAACCCTACTTACTAAGTCCCATGATCCTCCAAGTACCTTTCCTCCAGATCCGATATATCCCCAATTGAAACCCTACAACCCGACGTGACAAGTACCAAAACTAGGCCCTGATACAACCTCCCCAAAAAACGTACACCCAAACCCGATGAACCCTAATAAATCCAGCCTTTGCTCTATGAAGCTCTACAAGACGAAACCCCCCTGCAAAGCTGTGCGAAACCCCTCAAAATAGTCTGGGGTTTATTGCGGAAACTAAAAGGGTCCGGGGTTTAGGGTTTGCGAAGAGGGGACTAACGACCCAGAGAACCTAATACCCCTTAATTAACGAATATACCTTGAATCTCATAATATTAAGCCCCCTAGAATTAAAGCAGAATACCTCAGATCATAATATTAGGCCTATAATTAAAGTACAATCCTTCATGGGATCTTTGGACTCGAGAGAAACCAAATACCCCTTGATTAAGGAATATACCTTAAATCATAATATTAAGACCCCGATAATTTAACTATAATCCTTAATTAAGGGGTGTTGGGATCTTTGGGGACCCCATCAGGAACCCGGGATCCGCCTCCTCGACTTGGTAGCACTTCTCCCTCCACCAGACCCTTGGCTGATCTCACTTGGGACTTGGAGTACCTTCTAGGGTTCCTTTAAAGGGTTGCTATACGGCTACTATAAGGGTTCCTTTAAAGGGCTCCATAAGGGAGTTGGGAGTTTCCGAAATTATGGGGAGTCCCTATAATTAGGATCCTACTACTTAGGGTACTATATTAGGATCCCCAATTTTCGGAAACTCTCACTTGGGGTTCAGGGACTTGGTTTCGAGCAGAGTTGAATTTAAGACTGTGGGCATGGGGTTTAGCGTTTAGGGGCTTAGGGGTTTAGGAGTTTTAAGGCTAATGCCTCTTAGTTTCCTGCTGTTTGGTGCCTTCAGGGGTTTCGGGGTTGTTTGGCTTCGGGGCTTGGGGGTTTCGGGATTTGAGGCTCTAAAATTTACAGTCTACTTAGAGGATCATGGGACTTAGTAACTGGGGTTATCATTAGGGTAACTATACTTATAACTACTTATAACCCCAGTTAAGGTACTTATAACATTACTTACTAAGTCCCATGATCCTCCAAGTAGGACTTGACAGCAGTCAGGTTTGGTGAGGGCTTCAGGCTCTGAGGTTGTTCACGGTTTAGGACTTTGCCGCATTAGGGTTTAGCTACGTAGAGGGTCATGGGACTTAGTAAGTAGATTATGTCATAAACAAGGTAACTATACTTATAACTACTTAAAACCGGTGCTTGTAACCTTACTTACCAACTCCCATAATCCTCTAAGTAGACCCTAAACCCTAAACCCTATAGATCCCTTTTAAGGAACCCCCCATAAATCCCTTTAAGCCGCCCTGTTAAGGAACCCTTACTTCCCAAGTCCCATGATCCTGCAAGTCGGGCTTGGGGCGTACGCAGCTTTAGGTTTCTCAACTGGGTCCTAGGCTACTAGTAATAGTAGGGGTGGCCGCACGTCTCACACAAAAAAAGCCCAGAGACTCCAACATGCCTTACTTGAGGAAAATTAAGGGATATTGGAGCCTCTGGGAGAACGGTTCTGAGTGCGCGCCCCGGCTCTTCTCGTGGTGCAATTGGTCCACGCGGCGTTTCAACCTCGCCACCTGATTCGAAGACATGGCCCCTCACGGTTCAGGGAATTAAAATTAGGGGTACCGTATTTTGGGGTGCTCATAATGAGGATCCTACTGTTTAGGGTACTATGTAAGGGTCCCCTATTTTCGCAAACTCCCTTAACCAGCCTCCGAACCCTTTTAAAGGGACTCTCCTATATTAGGGTCCCCTGTTTTCGGAAACTCCCATTTGGGGTTTGGAATTCCCGGTAAATGCAGAGTTTGGGGTCGCGCCTCCTCATCTCTGGGATCCGGGGACACCAGCTCTTCCGCCTGGCCATAATGCGATGCTGCATGGTACAACAGCAAAGACAAAACTGCATGCATGCATAGAACACACACCGACCTATATACATATACCCACATATATACACTTGTACATATGCAAAAAAAAAACATGCATGCACACGTGCATATATACAATACTGCCACAGATACGGGCAGAGAGGCAGACTGACAGACCTACCTAAACCCTAAACCCTAAACCCTAAACCCTAAACCCTAAACCCTAAACCCTAAACCCTACTAATTCTGGCTCTTGTTAGCCCAGGGCCTCTTTCCTTGGCGAGAGCAGTCGCTGCAAGGGGTAGGTCTCCGGGTCGATGCCATCCGAGGCCGCAGCACCCATCGGAGGGGGGCTTTTGGGGATGAAGTCAAAGGACGGCTCTTCCGATTTAAAGGGGGCTGAAAGAAGGGCTCTGCTGGGTCTGAAGCCTAAGGGTTGGCTCTTTAGTTTCATGGAGGCTGGAGAAAAATGGGGTTCCTTATCGGACTTCTAGCAGGGTCATAGTTCGGGTTTGGGGGGTTGACTTGGGGAAAGTAGCTTGCCAGGTGCTGAAGCTCGTCATCTTCAGGAAACCAGTTCTATCCTTCGACTTTGAGTGTGTTAGGCACACTGGCTTCATCGACATGAGTGCTGGGTGTAGTTCCGTCACATGTAACGAGAAACCAGCTTGGAAGCTCGCAAGCTGTTGTTGCAACCAGCGGAAGCGGCTCTGTGCTCTAAGTCTTCAAGTACTCGGTCCACACTGCTTTCTGGCTCCAGTAGTCGCGCTCAACCTGTCCCCAAGATCCCCGCTGGATCCAGCCGCGGCAAGAAGCAAGGCTGCCATCAAAAAAGGTTCGTCCGAGGCTGGCCTCAACCAAAATCAAGCACAACCCGAAGAATCCCCAAAAGGAGGCACTGGCAGCGTTTCAAACAGCTGCTAAGCAGGGATCGGCCTTCATCTCCCGGATGGACGCCGCAATCCTTATTTTCCGAGCAGGAGCAGGAGAAAACAAGGAAGCACGACGGTATAAGAGCTTCGGTTGTTGGGGTGTTTAGGGTTTCGCGACCCTGAACCCTAAACGGTAAACCCGAGCAGCAGAAGCCCGTAGCCGCACGGGCGCGAAGAACAGCTTACAAGTCCAAGCTGCCTCGCCTCCAGGGTTTAGGGTTCAGGGTTTAGGGTTTAGGGTTTGATTGAATCCAACAAAGCACTTTGGAGCCAGTTCCATCGGGGATTCTGCAGTGTCACCCCCCTTATTATGGGTACTCTAATCTCCCCGACCACCTCGTTGTCTCTTGGGCTCTCTCTATCTTCAAACCCAACAGAGCCCAAAGAAAGCTGCATAAACACCCTCAGCGTTCATGTCGGCTCGGTTTAATCACATGTGTCAGGCGTGTCGCCGTCTCGGACTGACCCTTTTGTACAATCGGCATAGTGGCCTGCTTTTGCCGGCGACTTTGCCTGTGACCTGACCGCCGACCACGGACGCAAGCTCGGATGAACCCGCCTAGACCCTGAAACAGCCCACCCTTTTTGAGATCTGGGACTTGTCTTTGCCAGGGCGCTCGGTCTCTCCAAAGACTCGGTCGAAGAGAGGGTTCTCGAAGACACTGCTGAGGAAGGGCCTCAGCAAGCGTCGGGCTTCTGTGTAATTGAATTCTTGTACAGAAGGGGCGAAGTTCAGGGTTTAGGCTTTGTTGAACACACCTCGAAAACCCAGCGGTTTGGTGCGCTGAAGTAAAGCTTTGAAGCTTTACTTGGAAGTTTCCGAGAATTCGGGGTACCTCATTTTGGGGTCTGATCATAAGGGTCCTACTATTTGGGTTTTTTGGGTGAGGTCCCCAAATTTTCGGAAACCCCCTTACAGTGGGTAAAAGCACTCCCGCCCAGCCTCCGAACCCTTTAAAGGGACCCTACTTTGCAAAGGGTCCCCCAAATTTTCGGAAACTCCCAGACCTGGGTGCCTTTGCCAGACCCGCATCCTCCGGGCCCCAGCATACTGCCAAACTCGATCCTCTGAACCCCCGAACCCCAGACCTTCCCAAAATCCCTTACTTGAGGAATAGACCTTAAATTTTCACAGGATCCCTAATATGAATTAAGGTCTACTCCTTAACTAAGGAATAAACCTTGAATTATAGTAGGATCCCTGATATGAATGAAGGTATATTCCTTAATTCAGCGATTTTGGAAGGTCTGGTATTCTGGAGTTCTTATAATAAGGATCCTACTATGTAGGGTACTATATTAGGGTCCCCTACTTTCGGAGACTCCCATATCCTTGGAGCCAAACCCGTTTCGTTTCCCCGAACCCCCGAAAAGTCAACTCGAAGCCTCGAAACCCCTGAACCCCTACAGTGAACCCCCGAAGCCCTGAATCCCTGGACCCCTAAAACCCTAAAACCCTAAACCCTTAAAACCTAAACCCTAAACCCTAAAGCCCTAAACCCTAAACCCTTAAACCCTTAAAACCTAAACCCCTAAAACCCCTAAATCTCTAAAACCTGAAACCCTAAAAAACCCTGAAACCCTAAAACCTGAAACCTTTAACCTCAAAGAGAGGGAACACTGCCAAGGCCGCCGCATCTCTCCTAATCGGGCACCGAAGCGATCCCAGGAAGAGCTGTGCGCCTTCCGGAACGGAAGCAGGGGATGTTCTTCTATGTGGGTAGTTGTCAAAAATATGGTCCCTTTTCGGGTACCCTACATAATAGGTGCCGTATTATCATAGGGACCATAAAGGGACCATAATTTCGACAACCACCCGTATACGTTGCTATTTAGATACTAAACCCTAAACCCTAAACCCTTGTATGCATATGCTCTTCTATGTATATGCTATGTAGATCTGCGTTCGTTCGTTCTTCTTTGTACACCTGTTCACTTAGAACTGCGTTCCTTCTTATACAGTCTGCACCACAATAATGAGAGCATGTCCCACTGTGTTACGTTATATACACAGGGAACGAAACTTCCGGAGGCCGGATCCGACCGTCGGAAAGAGAGCCGGCCTGGGACACGACCAGCGCATTGTCCGGCTCTGCAGCCTGCGCCGCCTGGGCACCGGCCTGCGAAGGGTCTAAGGCTTAGGGCCTTGGGGGTTGAGGTGTTTAGGGGCTGAGGGTTTAGCGTTTAGGGCTTAAGCTTTAGGGTTCAGGGCAGAAGTCAGGCGTTTCAGGTTGCAGAAACCATAAACCCCGACCACCACTAGAGGGTGTCAGGGGTTTTGAGTGCTAGAGTCTGCTAGACTAGACTCTAGCACTGGAAACTCGAAAAAATAAAAATCAAAAACCCTCAAAACCTCAACCGAGATGCGAAGACCCTTCCGTCTGTGTTGCCCTTGATTCAAGTTTTGCACTGCTTTCGAACGGCTTTATACTCAACTCCAGAACCCTATAGTAGTCCTGTAAGGTGAACCTAAACGGAACCCAAAAAGGACCTCTGAAGGATCCCTCTAAGGGCTCCGTTAAGGCATCCTTAATGTTCCCTTTCAGGGATCCTTCAGGGGCTCCCTTTAAGGGCTCCCTTTAAGGGATCCCTTTCAGGGTTCCTTTAAGGGCTCCTTTACAGGAACCCCCCGCAAGAAAGAGACTTCTCGGCCCCGTTGGGAGGCCCCGAAAGGCGCAGCGCCTGGGAGGTGCTCTGAGACGCTTCCGCGCCCTCCGCTGCCTCGCTTTCCGCGGCCTCGAAGCGCCGAGAGGCTTCGCGGGTTTGGGGGGCTTGGGGGTCGTAGGGCTCTTGGGGGTTTAGGGTTTAGGGTTTAGGGTTTAGGGTTTAGGGTTTAGGGTTTGTGTTGTGGTTTTTGGGTGGGTTTTTGGGGTTCTGCCTGGTTTAGGCTTTGAAGGCTTTTGGGGCTTTAGGGCCGAAACTCTTTTTGTAGGGTTCTCGGGCTGGGTTCTCAAGCTTAGGGCTCAGGGAGGCTTTTTCTAAGACTTTGCAGGACTTGGTGGGCTCTGGGCTTGCTTGGAGGATCAGGGGACTGAGTGGGTTATAAATGCCTCAATTGGGGTTATAAGTACTTCCAAGTATAGTTGCCTTGTCTATAAGCCACTTACTAAGTCTCATGATCCTACACCTCAGGCTGCAGCCAGAGTTTAAGGGCTCTACATCATACACTAGCATCCAGCTACCTCGCGAAATCATCCGAATCCTGGAAGATCCAAATTCGTAACAAGCCCTGATAAGCCCATGATAAAAAGAACCCTCATGAAACTCTCACGAGAACACTTAAACCCTAAACTCTAAACCGTAAACCCTAAACCCTAAACCGGGGCACTCCGACCTTCGCCGCATTGGCCGCTGCCTCTTTCTCGGCCTCGGCGGCGGCCATGGCGTCCCGAGACTTCTTCCACCTGAGAGAGGCTCCCCTGCGAGGGTCCCTTAAAGACGGTTCCAGAAGCCTTCTGAAGCCCTCACCCCGAACCCCAAAGGGGGTTCAGATAGGGGCCTTCTTTGTAGAATGAGGTGTCGGGGGAATGTTATGGTGTACTTCTAGGCTGATCAAAGCTTCACTCACTACTTCCAGGATCTAAGGACCTAGGAAATAGAGTGTAGACAAGCTCATGTTTCGCAGAACCCGAAGAGAATCACTACCCTTCCTATCCTCCTTACTACTGCATTACTAGGCCCCCCCTCATCGAGCATTGAAACTTTGAAATACAACTTTGCAGACTGCAACAGCTGGGAGCAGGGGCTTCTAGCTGAAATCCGCCGCTCTGGGAACGTGGCTGCTTTGTCTTCTCAGCCTGCAGGTGCCAGGATTGCTAAGCAAAATTCAACACACGGGCGCACACAATGAGCAAATTCGAGGCTGCTTTGGGCGTTCTGCTTTGGGTCGATAGATGGTAATATAGACCCTAAACCCTAAAACCTCCCATGCCGGCGGAGAAGGGCACAACGGCAAAGCCCAGACCTTCTTGTCCTCGTCACCCAGGAAGTTGACGGCTCGAGAAGACGCATCCATTACCCGGGAGAACTTTTCCTGCAAGGCATCGTCCCCAAAGCCGACTGATGATCTTATGGGGAGCCTCTGAGTCTAAAGCTCAAAGGCTCCAAGGATTAGGGTTTAGGGTTGAGGGTTCTGCAAGTGTTGCAGAGGTTCAGGGGCCCGCAACTAGTCGGCTTGCACCATGCACCCCTATGACACAGACTGACGACGGAGCTTGCTGTCCGCTGGTGATCAGGAGGAGCACGAAGATCCTGAATCCTAAGCACCAGCAGAACCCCTTAAGAGGCTCCTCAAAAACCCTAAACCACTAAACCTTAAACCCCCAAACCCCAAAACCCTAAACCCCCCAACCCTAAACATCAAACCCCCGCCCCAAAAAAGGAACCTTCAACTCTCAAACACGTCCCATGAAATCGGCTGAGGCAGTCCCGTGTCGTGTGCATGAAGCTCGAGGAAGCCGCCGAGGTCGAGCTTCCAGCGGTTTAGGGTTTAGGGTTTAGGGTTTGGGGTTTCGGTTTAGGGTTTAGGGTTTGGGGTTTAGGGTTTAGGGTTTAGAGTGCAGGGCTTTGGGTTTAGGGTTTGGGGAAACCCAAAGAAGGATTTCAGGAATTTGGGGCGTAGGGGTTGAACGGTTTAGGGCTCAGCGTCGAAGGCTTCTGCGATTTCGCGTTGAAGGGTTTGAGGTTTCGTGTTTGGGGCTTAAGGGTTGAGGGATGTAGGGGTGAAGTCTTTGGATTTTAATTTAAAGGGTTGACGGGTTAAGAGCTTCGTGGTTCAGGGTTTCCAGACCTCCAAAAAGAAATTGCAGTTCAAACGTTTTCCGTACTCTGTGGTAGGACCGCCAAATCCTAGTCAAGATGCATTGAGACTCCAACACCAGGACTATATCTTGAAGCTAAAGAAAAAAGAAACTTTTAGAGAACCCTTACGTAGAGGTACCCTTCAAGGGACCCATGAGGCCTGGAAAAGGACTTGTACAACCCTTAAGGGACCGTTATGGAACCCGTTGATTCAAGCGAACCTCAAAGGGATCTTCGATTAAATTTAAAGGTGCGCTTGGAGGGACCCCGGACCCCCAAACCCTGAACTCTAGTCCCTAGACCCTTCAACCCGTACCCCTTAGCCTTAAACCGAAACCCTAAACCCTCAAACCCTCAAAGCCTAATCCCGAAACCCTAAACCCTTAAACCATAGTTTGAATCCCTTAAACCCTGATTTGAATCCCTAAAACCCTACACCCTTAAACCCTGGTTTGAATCCCTAAAACCCTACACCCTTAAACCCTGATTTGAATCCCTAAAACCCTACACCCTTAAACCCTAACTTGAATCCCTAAGCAAACCCTAACTTGAAAACCCTAAAAGATCCAAAGCAGTCGGCTCCGAGCCCCCAGACTCGGAGGCGTTCTTCAGAGCCTCCTTCGCCTTCCGCAGCGCCTGGGGGCACTCCGAAGGCTGCACTGAGAAACGCTGCACCGAATAGAGAGGATGGTGGCGAAAGCAGTCATCATAGTAGTAAGAAAAGAATATTCATGATAACAATGATGACACTAAATATACCAATAGTACTAATCATACCACCAACAACAACCTCGCATTTCTTAATCTGTTCTACTTCGGTCTCCGACCGACTTGTCTTTGCTCCACTCCTCTAGACTACAGCCCTGCAGAGGGATGAGTCGTGCTTCGCAAGGCGTCCAAGATGTCAGACTTTCTGTGCCTCACAGTATCTTACGACCGCGGAAGACAAAGCCTCCTACCTTGCCCTGCCGCGCACGCAGTCAAAGGCAGGACGGGGGCACAGATGGATGTTGCACATGAGTTTGACAACCGCAAAATGTCGGGTTGGCTGAGCGGTTCATCAACGAAGAGAGCTGAAAGGCTTTCTTTCCTACAGAACTTGACGAGGGCCGACCCGCAGGCCGTGCGGTGGGCACAGCCTGTGAACTCGTCTCGGTGTTCAACTTTCAACATGAATCGGAGGGGGCCTTGTTTGGTGTTATTATCCACCTCTCTCTCTCTCTGACTCTCTCGCCTGGGCTTGGCGGCTGGTCAGAGGCCCCCAGGCTTAGAAGCCCACCCAATTCATTGATTGGGTCAAGGGGTGTGAGGAACCAACACAGTACATCCTTTTGGCTGAGGCCTTATTATAGTACGATTACCTCTCTCTCTCTCTCTCTCTCTCTCTCTCTCTCACAGATGCCCCGTGCTACACCATCCTCGTGCAACGCTGGTTCTTCAGTTTCCCGGCTGCCGCATCAGAGTTGCACACTCCCACCGCCAAAATCCTGCCCGTCCTTTGGCTGTGCTGCTTGGAAGTTTCCTAAAGAACGTCTTATTGCAAGTCGCACCACTACTAACCGTGACTACTAACGTTGTTATTGCTCTTGCGACTATTGACAACAATATGTTTTGCTTTCTGAGTCTTATTCTTACTCTTACTCTTAGCATCACTGTTATTCTCCTTGCCATCGTCATTGGTATTTTATTGTTATTGAACTATTGCTACTGTGTTGATTGTCTACTATTGTGCTTATTGTTATGCTTAATATTGGTATGCTGATTAATACTACTGTTAGAAGGTCTCGCACGGACTGACTCCTTACCGGCCTCGTTGTCCTCCGCGGCCTTGTCGAACCGAGAGGAGATCGTGCCTGCAGAGTTTACTTAGATAAGATATGTAATGTGTTTACAATATAGAAGATATGTATTTTCGTTTACATATATATGTATATACACATACATACGAACATACATACTTGTATTTTTATACACATGCAAATATTTAGAAAGATAGATACATAGACAGATAGGAGTTGAACAGATATATATATATATACATACATACATACATAGATGTACGAGACACTTAAAAGAGATAGGAGACCTCGCAAGCAAGATGGAAGTGAGCCCATTCGCACCTACCTAGAGAAAGCAGAATCCAAGTTTCCCACTGAACCTGTGAGCTTCACTCGAAAGCTTCTTGGAAGAACGGCTCACGAGTCTTACCTCCGACTTGCGGCGCTCAAAGGCTTTCCATGGCCCAAAGCACAAGATCCTCCAGGGTTCTATTTGGGATTTTCGGGCTCCATGCGGATTAAGAATAGAGGGCCTTCGGGCTTTAGCCTTGAAGCCCTGAAAGAAAAAAACGAAAATCCCGACAAGCCGAGGCCAGGGCTCGCTGTGGAGCTGGCAGAAGTCTTCCAGCTACCTCGGCAGAGTGTGGCTTGGATTTGGGGGGGTTGCGACTCTAGTGTCTCCAGGGTGTAGAACAAAGTAGACCTTTTTGCCCAACAACTGCCGTTGTCATCGCAGAGCCGGTGTGAAAGAATATAAGAATCTGGAATTCAAACAGAAAGTGCTCCAGCACCAGAAAATGCAAGCCAAGCTCCTATCCAGAGGGCCCCGAATCCCCAAAACCTTTCCACCAGTTTCTTCACTCCGCCTCAAAACCTCAAAACCTCAAAACCCTGAACCGAAAAATCATCAACAACTCAAGATTATTCGGGGACCCTGACACGGAGCCCGTAAGGGAAGCCTTAAAAAAAGTAAACGGAGCCTCAAAGGAAGCCTTAAAGGAACCCTGAACTGAACCGTGCAAGAAACCCTGGAAGGAACCCTAAAAAGAACTCAAATTGAAACCCTAAACGGAACCCTTAAGGGATCTTACGGTTCCTTTAAAGGACCCTTTAAGGGATCTAAAGGGGTGCCTTTAAGGGACCCTTTAAGGGATCCATAGGGGTTCCTTTCAGGGACCCTTGAAACGAAGCCTTCAAGGAACCCTGAGAGCTCCGAGCTCCCGGCTGAGCACCTCCGAGGTCTTCGAGGAAAGGCCTGGAAAGGCCCACGTTGGCGTGTCGGGGTTTTGGGGCTGGATTGGTGGGTTTTGGGTGGGTAGAGTGGTTTTGGTGGATTTTGGGTGTTTAGAGTGGTGCAGGATTTTGGTTTGGGATTCAGGGTAGAGAGTTGAGTTTGCGGGGTGTGGTGTTTCAGGGCATAGGTTTTATGGGCTCCGGGCTCTAGGTTCAACGCGTGCAGTGTTCGGGCTTGAAAGGGTGCAGAGTTTGGGATTTAGGCTTTGGGATCAAACCTGGCCTACTGGGATCGTAGCTTCCGTGGGATTCTGCTTCTCGCAGAGCAGCTGTCTTCATATTTCGAAGGTTCTGGGGAGTGGCCTTCTACTGTAAAATTCTCGTAGGGAGCGATGTATGGACTAGTCACAATGAATGAAATCCTCAGACCCCTGCGCAGTATCAGGGATTCAGGGTGAAAGCCTTCAGGGTTGGGCCGCCGGTTAGCAGAGATGACGAAGGCTGAGGAACCGAACGCCGAACTGGAATCGCGGACCGGGACCGCCCGAACCGACTCTTATTGCTCAGTTATTTTAGCACTATTACTATTCTCACGATTATTATAACTATTCTTATTGCTTAATAATAGTGGGAAAGCCGCGAACTGGATTAACTAACCGAGTCGTAAGCTCCAACGACTCCCAGCTCAAGAGAGAAATCTGCCACCGACAAGACATTCTAAGAGCCCTCCTACTACATGAGGTCTTCTTCCTTGGAGCCCGATTGCCAACCAGGCAAAACGTCCCAGAACACCTCACACCCTCACCCTAAGCTTTAAACCTGAAACCTTATACCCCCCCATACCCCCCAACCCTAAACCCTAAACCCTAAACTCTAAGCCCTCACCCCAAACCCTGAAACCCTGAAGCCTATACCCCTCAACCCTAAACCCTAAACCCCATACCCCTATGAAACCCTAAACCCCTAGAAACCCTCAACCCTATAACCCTATACCCCTGTACCCCTAAAAACCCCAAACTCTGAAAACCCTATCTCAGCTCCGGGCTCTTCATTCGGCCCCCGAATTCCTCTAGCCTTTCGGAGCCTGCGGCCTGGGCTCAATTCGGGATTTTTAAGGTTTTTGGGTTCCTTTTTTGGGTACTACAAGGGTTTCTATACGGGATCTATAGGGTTCTAGGGCTCAGGCCTTGAAAGTTTGAGGTTTCAGGTTTAAGGTTTAGGGTTTAGGATTTGGGGTCTAAGGTTTAGGTAGGGTTTCGGGGCTTTCCGGCCTAATGTAGGAACCCGATTAAGAAACCCTGGTCCTGTGACCCCATTATATTAGGAGGCGTATAAAGAACCTTGACAGAAACCCAGGGTCTCTTAACCAGGTTCCTACATTAAGCCCTAAACCCTAAACCCTAAACCCTAAAGTTTTCAGGGGCTTTCAGGCCTAAACCCTGAGCCCTAAGCTGCTCACCTCCCCTTCATGATTGGAGTAGGGTTATGGGGCCCATTATACTATAGGAATACTTAAGGAGCCCCCAAAATATTATCTTAGTCGCTGAGTTCATAAGCCCCCAAAAGTGTACACGTTCAGTTTTATAGTGGGTAATATTATCCCAAGAAGTGTAAAGTGTATCCACTCAGCTGCGGAAGTTTTTGTGATTACGAGTTTACGAGGCCTCCTGAGTTTCTGTGTCCCCCGACCCCGGACTGCTGCATCTTCTCGGAGGACCGCTGCACCTGCAAGGGTCCGTTCTGCGATGCTCTGGACTGCGGCTTCGAGCTGCGGGTCTGAAGTCTATAGCACTATGGCTCTGGGATCCCACCTGGAGGATCATGGAACATAGTAAGTAAGGTTATACATAAGATAACTATACTTAAAGAATACTCATAACCCGAATTGACATAATCCCAATGACCCCAATTAAGGCACTTATAACCTTACTTACTAAGTCCTATGATCCTTCAACAACGGATCCCCAAGCCGTAAAAGGGCCTTAAACCACGCAGCTCCCGCGTTTCAGCCGAAACCTCACTCCGATAATGCTCGGCCCCAAAGAGGGTTCTAGGGCTTAGGGTTCCTTTAAAGGGAACTATACGGATTCCTTCAAGGGATTAAGGGATCTATAGGGTTTTTGGGGTTTAATTCCACGTCTTCCTGTGGAGCCAACTGCTCCGGGGGTTACTTAAAGGATCATGGGACTTAGCAAGTGGGGTTATAAGTAAGGTAACTATACTTATAAGTACTTATAACCCTAATTAAGGCACTTATAACCCTACTTACTAAGTCCCATGATCCTCCAAGTAGAGTTGCGCCTTCTCCCAATCCTTTCGCAGCTTGTCATCCGCCTCCATGTCCTTCTTGACTTGGTCCATGACCTGACACGGAGTAGCAGTAGTAGTTAGTAGTAGGAGGAGGACATGCGGGAAAAGAAACAACAGCTGAGACGACAAAAGCAAACCAGGTGCGAGCAGCGCAGGAGGCACCCGCCAAAGCACATCAAAAGCACTCCTACGAAGGTCTCTTCTCTTCGACCACGCCTGCTTGATGAAGCTGTTCCTGCAGCAAGCTTCTTACTTGAGCGATGGCTCTCAAGATTTCGCCGGCTCTCTCCAACAAGGCCCCCTCGGGCCCCCAGCCCTGAACCCGAAACCATGTGCGTCCTCCTGGCTTGCGTCGCCGCCTGCGGGGAGAAGCGGCTTCGCCTGCGACCAGCAGCGGAACCAACAGATCTGAGAACAGATGCGGAGTTTCCATGTGACCCTGAACCCCAAAACCTCGCTTCATGCTCAAGCATAGCATTACAACACCTCAGCATGCGCTTCTTCGAGCGTTGACCGGCGATCTGCCAGCTCTTGCCGACTTCCGTTCGCCCAGGTGCTTTTATCATCACTATTACTACTATTATCACGATTATTATAACTATTCTTATTGCTTAATTATTATAGCACTATTACTATTATCACGATTATTACAACTATTCTTATTGCTTAATTATTGTTGCTATAATTCTAAGGCAAACAGAATTCTTCGCCAGTCCTTTCCCGAAAGCCACGGCCCTGCGCTTGGTCCCCGGCCGCGTCAGCCCCCGCAGGGCGAGCCGCGCCTCAACGGCCGGGACGTGGGGCGTTGCTGGAGCTACTCCGGAACCAAATTAAGGTTCAGGGATTAAGGTTCAGAGGTTTAGGGGTTTAGGGGTTTAGGGTTTAGGCGTCCAGGGTTTAGGGTGCAGGGTTAAGGGTCGAGGTTTCAGGGTTCAGGGTTTAGGAATCAACTCTAGTCTTACGATGAAGAGGTTTCACCGTTGCGAAGCAGCAAAGAGTGTTGCTGAGGAATTCGGAGTTGAAGGAAGTTGAAGGAAGGAGTAGAAATCTCTCTGATTCACGCCATCCTTGCATTGAGGCTCGAAGGGTATGGGAGTATCCGAAAATAAGGACCCTACAAAAGCACCCCAAAATATTATTTTAAGGACCCCAAAACAAGGTACCCCTACTTAAACAGCCACAAAGAGACTGACGATTACAGGGAAACCAGATACGAGATTTTGCCCCTTGAGATGTGATCAGCTCGAAGTGTAAACTGCCGCAGCCTCGCCAAAGTTGTGCAAGAACCGCGTGCAGCACACGGAATCAAGGATGAAGCTCCATGAAGCTCCACAAAACTCCTTGCAAGATGGAATGAAAAGCTCGTAAAAGGGCGTATCTCACGAGGCTCTTTGAACCATCACGGCTACTCGTGTCCCTTTAACATGCCCGACATCTTTCTCCCACATACCTCCCAAGAACGCAACCCCTGCTTGTCGCACACTGCCAAGGGACACAAGTGTAGGAAACGATAGGAAACACAAATTGCTCGTCTTGAGACCCTTCATTGGACGAAAAATCACAGAAAATGTGCGCCACTCTGGGCACCGTGCAAAACAACAAGCGTTGCGACACCCAGCCACTGACCGTCTCTGTCGGGCTGGGTGACCGCTCCGAGTTGTTCAAAATCGAGAATTCAGGGATTGTGCCATGTCAGCGATTCCGGTTTGATTGAGGACGTGCCAAGCAATGTATCATCTACCGGACACGCCACGGCGGAGGAAGACCGGCTTGTCACAGCCAAACCTTCCCAAGAAATGCAGACGAATTTGGCAGCCAGAGAAGTATGGCACGGGCCCGATGTGGAGTGCCATCTTCCTCTCTATGCTTCCCGGAGAGCCCGATACCCCTTAAAATTAAGCAACATACCTTCAAAGTCACCATAAGAAAGCCCTCGAGATTTTACAGAGAACTGAAGGTATGTCCCCTCTTGAGAAAGGGTCAACTTGAGCTCTCTCCGCTCTTGGAGAGCTCTCGGCTCACCGGTTGCAGCGCGACAGCGACTCATAGCGCTGGCGCAGGTCCTTGTTCATGGTTGGGATAGGATTAAAAATTTCAATTTGTATTCCTTATTGGGTTTAAGTACCCATAAAATGTAAAACGTTAGCCAAATATGACCAAGGGTCATGGGGGCACTGGATCGGAGTGAAGACGAAGTTGTGGTTGTCGATTCCCGGAGGCCTGAGATCAGGTTTTGCTCTGAAGATTTGGGATTTCCAGGTTCTACTTGGAGGATCATGGGACTTACTAAGTAAAGGTTATAAGTGCCTTAGTTGGGGTTATAAGTACTTATAAGTATAGTTACCTTATTTATAACCCCACTTACTAAGTCCCATGATCCTTTAAGTAAGGTCTAGGGCTTCAGGCTTTCAGGATGTTAAGCTGCAGCTTTAAGGTGTTTCAGGGTTTTGGATTTTGGGTTTAGGTTTTGGTGTCTCAGGTTTTCAGGATTCGGCGTAGTCAGGGTTTAACGTTGCAATATGATCCCATAATGCAGGTACGTACTCCGCAATAGGCTTTTCCATATTACATGGTTGTATGCAGCCGTGCAGACTCTTAGGTCAACTCGCCATCAAGAATAGGAAGCAGCAACGACTTCCTGATCATGGTCTGTTAAGCTGCATGCTCAGTGTGAGTTACCATCACCGGAAGGGTTTCTAGCTGGCAGAAAGCTCTCCTTGTTACAACCATTGCATCTTGAACGCGCTGCTCACTCTCAGCAAGTGTTTTTGGCATCTAAAACCCAAATCCCTAAGCAAGAACCCAGAGACGGATGGGAGAAGTTCATGTCCCTGAACCCTAAACTCTAAACCCTAAGTAAGAACCCAGAGGCGGATGGGAGAAGTCCAGGTGGTTGTGGGAGCCGTAGTGATTCGTCTGCCCGGGCCACTGCGGGCACCAGCGCTCGTTCCCGTGGTGGGGGCACAGATCGGCCACCACAATGACCTAGTTCATGGCTGGGAAAAGATTAAAAATGTTCATGTTTCTTCCTTCTTGGTTTTAAGTACCCATTAAGATGTAAAATGCTACCCAACTCTTCCTTCTTGGTTTTAAGTACCCATTAAGATGTAAAACGCTACCCAACTCTTCCTTCTTGGTTTTAAGTACCCATTAAGATGTAAAATGCTACCCAACTCTTCCTTCTTAGTTTTAAGTACCCATTAAGATGTAAAATGCTACCCAACTCTTCCTTCTTGGTTTTAAGTACCCATTAAGATGTAAAATGCTACCCAACTCTTCCTTCTTGGTTTTAAGTACCCATTAAGATGTAAAATGCTACCCAACTCTTCCTTCTTGGTTTTAAGTACCCATTAAGATGTAAAATGCTACCCAACTCTTCCTTCTTGGTTTTAAGTACCCATTAAGATGTAAAATGCTACCCAACTATGACAAGATGACGATCTCGTCCGAGGCGAAGCCGCTCTTCTCCAGGGACTTGAGGTTGGGATGGCCCCTCAAACCTCGGCAAGACAGAAATGGGTAGTAATAATGATAATAATGATAATAATGATAATAATGATAATAATGATAATAATGATAATAGTGATAATAATGGTAATAATGGTAATAATGATAATGATGATAATAGTGGTCAAAATGGGGGTCCCTTTTTGGCTACCCTAAAGAATAGGTGCCGTCTTATATTAGGGACCCAAAACGGGACCATAACTTTGACAACCACTCAAATGCAGTTTTCGAGCACAGACGCACAGAATTGTTGGTTCTTACCTTATCCTCTGTTGCAAAATGAAACCGAAACTGTTCTTGGCGGATCCTTCACATTGGTTAGTAGGGAATGGAGGAATGGGGCACAACTAGAACTACTATTACTACCATTCACCTACTATCAAAGGGGAAATGGAGGGACCCTTAATGGGGACCCCTACCCTATAATCGGCCATATAATGGGTATATAATAGCTACATTAAGGGTATATACCTAGGGGTCCTTATTAAGGGTCCCTCCTTTCACCCCTGGATACTAACCAAAGGTAAGAATTGCGACCCGAGGGGCCGTAAGCCGAGCGGAGGAAGCGGCCCTTCGCACAGCTGAAGCAGCCGAGCCTCGGCGCATTAGGTCGGGGGAGTGCGTTGCGGGGAAAAGTCGGCGCTGCGGAGCCCAGCCCCCCCTTTCTTAGAGATCCCAATATCCCTTAAATAAGGATTAATGCTTCAAATCATAGGGGGCTTAATATTATGACTCAAGGTATATTCCTTACGTCAGAAGTATTGGAATCTCTGGGTTCACTTCGGAATCGTCCAAAAAATTATGGCAACAACGTTCTGCGCACTCACACTCAGACATCAAATCTGGAATCTTCCATGAAAATGGATGGACGTCCCTGGATCCTTTTAAGCAAGGTGTTGCTGACGGCATCACGGTAGTCCCTGCAGAAGCCCTCTTTCTGTTCCTAAATCCTCATTCCCAGTATGAGGTATGAATAGAGTCCTTGGAAAAGCCCCCTTTCAGCTCCTGAACCCTGTCCCTAAACCTTACACCCTCAACCCTAAACCCTAACGAAACCCTATACCCTAAACCCCTAAACTCCCCCCCTGGTCCCGCTACTTGGAGGGTCATGGGACTTAGTAAGTAATGCTATATAAGTACCTGTACAGATACCTTATTTATTACCTTACTTTCTAAGTCTCATGATCCTCCACGTCACCCCAAACCCTATAGATCCCTTTAAGGAACCCCTACAGATCCCTTTAACGGGCTTTTTGGGGTCTCAAAATAAACAAAAGGTTCTCTCTGAGCCAGCGGCCCCTGCGTGCCGCGGCCGCCGCCCGGGCCGGAGCACCAGCAGCAGCCCTCCCTTCGTTCGGGAGTGTAGGGAGGGGTTTAGGGTTTTTTTGATACACTTCTCGATTAGGGATTTGGGTGTTCAGAATGGTTTAGGGTTTGGTGTAGGGGGGTTTAGGGTTTAGGGGTTTGGGGGTATGGGGTTTAAGGGTTCAAGGGTTTAAGGGTTTAGGGTTTGGGGGGTTTGGGGGTTTAGGGTTTTGGGTTTGGGGTTTAAGGGTTTAAGGCTTAAGGGTTTAAGGGTTTATCAGGGTTGTGGGTTTGGGGTTTTCGGGTTTAGGGTTTAGGGAGGGTCTGCCTCACTTCAAGAGTATAAGGTTTAGTAGGGCTGGGGTTCATAAAGGGTTCCTTTGAAAAGTACTTTAACGGTTCCTTTAAGGGATCTATGAGGGTTTTAAGGTTTTAGGGTCGAGGGTGCTTAGGGCTTCAGCGTTTTAAGGGTAGGGTTTAGTAGGGTTAGTTAGGGTTTAGGGTTCCTTCAAAAGGTACTATAAGTTAAGGATTCCTTTAAGGGACCTATAGCGTATATAGCGAGGTTTGCGGTTTAGGGTTTTAGGTTTGGGGTTTCAGGGTTCAGGGTTTTGGGCTTAAGGTTTAGGGTCTCTCTGAGGAGTATAAAGATGAACTTCGATAAGATAGCAGGATTTGACAGCAAAGCTTTCCGCCCACGTTTGGAGCTTTTGTGTCCACTCCAAACCCTAAACCCTAAAGCCTAAAGCCACTCTTTTTAACCAGAACTTCTTTGGGCGGATCAGGGCTAATTGGGAGGCTTTTCGGTTGACAGGGTTTTGGGTTCAGGGTTCGGAGATTGCCGAGTTCATAAGCTTGTCTTACCTTTGGTTAGTCGGGAATGGAGGAATGGGGTACAATTATAACTACTATTACTACCATTCTTCCATTCCCTACTAACCAAAGGTAAGTTGTTTTAGGCTACAGGGTCCAAGAACAAACGTGCTTTAGGGCTAAAGGTTTATAGGATTGGAGGAAGACGCAGCTGCTAAAACGCACATCCTCTGTTGCAAAATGAAATCGAAACTTTTCTTGGCGGATCCTTTATGCTTTTTATGCCGAAGAGGAACTTGGTCTCAAGAACAGCCCTGCGATCAAGTGTAACCCTCAGATGCAGCTCAGAGTCCACATGGACTGTGCAGATGCCACGCTGTAGTAGGGCAGGCCTGGATAAATTGAAGTTGAACGGTCTTGCGGTTTAGGGTTTAGGGTTTAGGGGTTTAGGGTTTAGAGTTTTGCATCTCTGGGACTCCATGGCAATCTGCGACCCTGAGCGGCAGCAGATTGTTGGGAGATGCAGTCTCGAGCTTCTCAATGCTCACTGGTGGGGTCTCGCAGCCCGGTGTTTTAGCATTTTAGCGTGTTGGGCAATAACTAATCAAACAAGGTGCGCTCATAACATGAGCCAAGTCTTAGTGGAGATGCCCGCCTGATGTCAGCTGGCCAGTGTGCAGTCCGCCGCATGCGGCCGCCTTCGCATCGCCATACCGCGTTGTTGTAGCGAAGGTCTGATAGCCGGCATAGCCTTGGGCACTGAGAGGTGGAAGTGCTTCGTTTTCCCACAAACCCTAAACCCTAAACCCTAAACCATATCCGCACGTGGACCCCGATCAAGCAAAATCGAAGACTCCCTCGAAAAAGGGCTTGGAAGGCCGCTCATGCAAAATCAAAAGCCTCCCTCCTGGCTTTGGTTGCACTTCTCAATAGCCCTTGATTAAGGAATAGACCTGAAATATAGTAGGATCCCTTATGCTTCTTTCCTCTGTCTCGCTTGCCTAGTTGTCCTTCATGCCTCGCCGCGCAACGATAAGCATTGGCTGCTCGAGTGCCGTTTGCTTCCAGCAACGTCGGGGTGAAGTTTGCGGGCTCCCACGCGTGCCTGCCGGCAGATGGTTTAGGGTTTAGGGTTTAGGGTTTAGGGTTTAGGTTTGGGTTTAGGGTTTAGGGTATAGGGTATAGGGTTTAGGGTCTAGGGTTGAGGGTTTAGGGTTTAGAGGGTTTAGGGGGCACGGAAAATGTGAACGAAGCACTGTCTCCGAGCGGCGTCTCCGTGGTGTTCTTGAGCGTGGCATTCTCTGGCGACCCGAGTCCTGCTGCGACTAGCCCTTCTCTAAAACCCTGGAAAAAATCCTATGACTATCACTCTAGAAACCCCTTATATTTACCCATACGGATCCCTATATAGGAGCCCTCTAAACTTGAAACCTAAAACCCTCAACCCTAAACCCCATCAGTCTTGAAACCTTAAAGCCTTAAAACCACGGTCTCGCAGCAGCGAGGCCCAGGAGCGAGAGGGCCAGTCGGGCAACAGCCATGGCGCGTCGCGTGGGACCTCGAAAGGCAGCGGTCTCCCAGAGGGTGTTCATGTTGGAGCCTTAATGATTAGAATAGGGCTTTGGGGGTTCCTTATTGTAACTGTGGTAAAGTACACCCCCCAAACCCTATATTCTAACATGTTCTAAATATTTAAGGTCCCTATAAGGATGGTCTTACGACGCTTGTCATGCAAGCTCCATGAAGATCTCAACGGGAGGAAGGCTTTACTCGGACTTGCGAGGGTACTCAGGTTAGGGGGCTTCGCAAGTCGGGATGTTAACCTACCTTTTTAGGGTTCCTTATTATGATTTCCTTTTTTAGAAGTCCTTGAAAAGGTAGGTCATAAAGAGAGCCGTCAGTGTCACTAAGCCCCCCTGGTCCTCGAAGTAGGTGCAGAACTATGGTCCATGAAAGGAACCCCAAACTCTAACCTCTGAACCCTAAGCAGAAAACTGGCAACTTCCAGGGTCCCTGCCTTGGGACGGAAGTGGCAAATCGCCCGCACTTCTCCCGAAGAGCCAAAGCAGCTGTCGCAAGCCGGCGAGGCAGTTTAGAGTTTAAGGTTTAGGGTTTAGGATTTAGGGTTTAGGGGTTTAGGGGTTTAGGTTTTAGGGTTTAGGGTTTGGTAAACCGGAGAGAACCCATATCGACTTCTGGATAAGTGACGGTCACGTGGTCGAAAATATCAAGCTCATCCTCACATCAAAGCTGCTTGAATGAGTTCTACTCTACTCAACTCAGTTTGGAAAAGTGCACTTGTTAAGCCCTAAACCTCAAGTTACACCGTGAACCCGAAACACAGCAATCCCAACATTAAAGACCCTTCGCCTTGACCAACCCCTGAAATCCCGTCCCATGCTCCCCAAACCATAAACTTTATAAACCCTAAAGCCCAAACCTTATAAACCCTATAACCTTATAAAGCCCATAACCCTATACACCCTTATAAACCTTTTTTAACCCTTATACACCCTTTATGAGCCCTTATAAACCCTTTTAAATGCTTATGAAACCCAACCCTTATAACCCTGAAGCCCCATTAGAACCCACCCAGTCTGCTCTGCTCTGCGGCCTGCATCGTGCCAAGGGCTCCCAAGGCGAATCCTGCGCACAGTCCCATGAAACGCTTGTGCGGCTTAGGGTTTAGGGTTTAGGGACATTCGGGGCGTCTACATTCGCACATACCTCATGCGTACATAGAGACACACATGCACACATCCATGCATACGTGCATGCATACAGTACATACAGTACATACAGTACATACATACATACATACATACAAGCATGCAAAAGCAAAGATGCTCACAAAGATAGAGACACATTTAGAAATTCGGGTACAAGTACACAAAGTAGAAGAAAGGGATATGCGCAACACCAACAAATACACAGAGTGAGAACCGACATATGTCAGTCACCTGCATGGTTCATAGTCTACAGGCACTGCGGCAATAGCACCCGTGTACACACCCCGCCTGCGGACAACTGATCCTATCTGTCTCTACTACGGCTAAGTTCCTGCGAAAAATGCGGCAATGCATGCAAGCCTCATTAACGCGAAGCTAGTGACAGCGATTCAAGCTGAGATTCTGTTATCTTGCGGAAGCTGTAGTTTTGTCGAAGCATCCTCTGCCAGAGAGAAGTTTTCCTAATCAAACATTGCGCGTCATGCAATCGTTTCGTTTTTATGTGATCCTCAACCAACACCTACCAAAACGTTCAGGAATTCGGACTGGAGTCACAAAGGAACGCAGGGTTTTGCCACTGCAAGTTCCAAATCCTGGCTTCGATCAATTTGAACACCCCTAAAGACCTACCCACGGCAAGCAGCGAGACGAGGGATCACCGCTTCAAATTGAAAGCGTGCAAAATCGACAAGCATGCAAGCGATCACGTTTGACAGCTTCCTCAGAAGACGTAGCCCCCTGTTCTGCAACAGTGTATGGGCTACCGATACAACGTCTATGAAGAAGTTTCGGGCCAACTTGCAATTTGTCATACGCAAGGCTATGGTTTTTTGCCAACAAAGGTCTCGAAACAACTTAGCCTTGTCTAGGAGCTACAGCTCTATTTTGCGCCGCATCAACACGGATTCTCGAGATACGAGTCGTCTACCAACTCGGATCACCGTCGTCACTCCATGTCAGATCCACAAGTACAACAGTCAGACTGCCCGTGATTTAACCATCGGCTCATCCACCTTGAATATAAGTCGGTTTTTTTGCAATAGTTCATCTCGTAAATTTCCGCCGGAAACGACATTATTGCTGCGAACACTCGACCAACCTTTTTTGTCTGCACTAGCCGTGGGGCGCATTCAAGTGAAGAGATTCTGCTGCACGGCCCACCGCCGTGATACGACATGTTTCGTGGAACATGCTTTGGCTCCCCCGGGCGGTGGGGGTTTCAACATTTTCCTGTTGAAACCCGATGACTTCTCAGTGGCACAACAAATCAAGCTAAAGAATGGTTGAACTCGGACTGTGTAAAAGGTTGGTACATAATGTCATGGTGAAATGTGCTGTTCATCAACCAGATTCATGTCAAAACTGTCTGCCAGTGTTGCCCCGAGATATTTAACCTTGCATGAAATAAGGCCCTACGCATCACGATGGAGGGTTTTCTTATTTATTTAGCTGCTTCTTGTCAATGAAATCAAAAGCGGTGTCAGTGATAATTGGTTCGTTGATGTATGCCAACCACGTACAACTTGATTGCCCATAAATTTTTCAGGCGGCCCATGATTTTTAATCATCGGCGCATCCACGTCGGATATGCATGACATTTCCATTCATTCATCTCGTAAGTACAGTAAAGATCGTTTGCTGACCGTTGCCATCACTTGTTCTTTGAGTGCACTGCCGTGGGGCGAATTCAAGAGAAGAGATTTTGTGTGAAATGTGGTCGCTATGTGTGAAACTACGAAGGAAAGCATGGAGCAAGAAAACTCCCGTTAAGGCAGTCATGGAGGTTGACTTCACCCCAAATAACACCGCTGTACGCTTTACTGCATTTGTGCGTTCCATGGAAACCAAGAGCCCGTCGCAACCCTGAAGACCCACAGAACAGGCGTCCACAACCGAATCATGGATCTCATACTTCTGTAGGTTAAAGTAGTGCTGGGTCTGCTTCCAGGTCCAATAAGCGCATTTCACTGGCCACTCGATAGCCCAGTGATCGGAAAGATCACACATCTCCCGAACAGCGATCCACAGCTTCCGGTGCGTGGCCCACAGGCCATCAAGATGCTTCTGGTAACTGTCTCCGTACCTCTTGAGGTTCATCCACTGATACGGGCATCCTCCGGTGCATGGAGTCGAACTCCAACTTTCATTCCGCGACCCCTTGCTTTCTCCACAATGGCAACGAGATCTTCCCGAGTCTCTTTCTTCGTTCCATCGTCGGCGGCGGTCACAGTCAAAAGATGAATCTTCGGGAACTCCCTAGTGACTCCCTAGCACAAACCCTGGAGAACCCTGATTCCAGCGGTGCGCAAAACTCCACAAACAGCCACTTCTGTCCCTTTTGAGGTCTAAACCGTTCCATCAACGAAGAAATCCCTCCCTTCGCCACACAAGTCCGCAAAATTGTCATTGCCAACCCCTTCGCCACACAATTCCGCAAAATTGTCATTGCCAACCCCTTTACCCCCTCTGGAAGCAAGGCGGCGCGCAGACCAACATGATGCATGTGCCTGAGCGTGGAGGCTAAATCTAAGTTCTTGGTAAAGATATCCGCGGGATTCTCCGTGCCACGCACAGAGACCACGCGGAGGGATCCGGACTGTACTTCCTGCTGGAAAAACTTTCCTTTTGCTTTGAGTCGCAACCGCACGAATGCAGTCTAGCGTAAGGGCAGCGATGCAAGGTGTATTACCCCACATAGCGGCAGCTGCAGTGGCTGCAGGCACTATTGGCCTCCCAGTTCAAGCTCCGCTGCGCACAGCTAAGCGAGCCTGTGGCTACGCGTGTCGAGGGGTGCAGGCGAAGGAGGGAGAGAGAGAAGAGAGAGAAAGGGAAGAGCCGAGGGAAGAAAAGAAGAAGAGCAGAGAGAGAGAGAGAGAGAGAGAGAGAGAGAGAGAGAGAGAGAGAGAGAGAGGACTCGCACTACACAAAAGAGCAGTCACCACTTGTGTTGCACCGTGACCGCTTTGTCCAAATCGCTGTGATTCAGACAGACGCAAAACTAACTAACTGGTGCGCTGCAGCATGAAAACATAGGCATTGCATTTGATCATCTGATGGTCAGAAAGCTTCACTTTCCGAGCAATGACGGAGTCATCAGTGAAGTATGCATCGCGTAAGGCACCAGTAGTGGACATCAGGATTGTCCGATAGTGTCCGCTCGTTGGCGCATCGCCAATGTGGATCAGAATGGCTCGTATGGCATATGTGGCAAAGTACACATCTTGTAAGTTCGCACGAAATGCAGGAATATGCACTGGCTCGTCAAAAGTAATCCGTATCCACTGCCTGCAGTTGGTGAGCAATGGTGCCCGCCGTGCACCAGTGGCCCTGAATCAGGCTAGGATTGAGATGCGGACGCAAAAACGTGAGCAGCTCCACTATGTCGTGCTGCCGACGGGGTTCAATCCATCCCCTGAGGAGTCTCTGCCATGGCAGAAGTGACCAAAGAGTAATCTTGTTTCCCGCCTGCACCAGAGATCTGAAAGCAGTAGCAGCCACACCTGAGAAGAAAGAGCATCCAGCATACCCCTCAAGCCACAAAAGGGCGAGGACTAAGGCATTGGCGTAGCAAGCATTCTGCCCTGGATTCTGAAGCTTAAGCAGCCTGACCTTGGCAAACCATGTATCGGCTGGGAGAGTGCAGACCGGGTACTGTGAACCATTGGGTCCTGGACGGACGGCCAGACCCCGGTCACCACCTGGCTCATTTACCACAACAGTTGCTTCGCCATTGGTTGCAGTTCCAGTCTTTCGCGGCGCATCGTGAGTCCGACGAGCTGAAGGCATCCCGCTCCGCACAGATCCTTGAGAGCCTGAAACAATTGTTGTGCCGTCGTTCCCTGCATTGACAGCTGCAGCAGGAATGGCAACGTGTTCTCGATGCTCTCTGTCAGCTTGCGGGTCGCCGTGAACTTGTGAATCATGTGGTCCAGGTTCAATGCTTTGAGGATGGATGTCAGATGCTGAATCAATGTATCGTGCGGCACCTGGCGAACTGGATTCTCCGGAACGAGCTGCTCCTTCTCCTGGGACCACCGCAGGTACTGCCAGTTGAGGCCCTCCATGCTCAAGTAGCCCATCTTCCGACAGCGGGTGATGTGATCCTCGTTGAGATGGTTCATGCGATTCTGGAGCTCCTTGAATACCGTCATAAGGGGGGCCTGCCTCAAGGTCAGGGACTGAATCGTGCCCTGAGTGCGGGCCTCGTTCCATGTCTTGCTCGCCTGAAAGATCTCTCGAAGGATGCCGTCCTGTCCCACTCGGAAGTGCAGAATGAATCCGCAATCCACTCGCCTGGCTGCGAGTTCCCACTCGTGGCGGATCAGCAGCCGCCGCATCTGATCGAAGTACTGCTGCAGCTCGTAAAGCTGAGTCCAGGTCGTTGCCGGGGGGTACTGGGGCTGAGGGCTCGCATACTGAGAATGATAATCGGTCTGGCCTGCGCTCGATGTCCACGGTGCCATGGGCCAGCGATCCTCCTGTTGATCGTTCTGGTCCAGATACGACGGCATTGGCAGGCTCTTTCCTTTGTCTTTTCCCTTGCTTTTGCCCTTTCCCTTTCCCTTGCCTTTGCCCGTTCCCATTGCTCCCTGTGCCCTGCGTCGCTGCTTTTGCGAGGGCCACTGCTGGACCGGCTCCAGCTGATGCCCCTCTCGCTTCGTTGGAAGGTGCGATGGGACCGGCCGATGGAAGATTGATTCGAACTGCATCAGAGGGGTCGGCTCCTCCCTCATCATGAAATCGAAATCCATGAATGGCAGCAAGCCTGGCGGCAAAGAACACTGCGCAAGACTCGCGGTGTCGAATCGCCGGACCTTTCCACTCAGCGTGACACAGCTGGCACGGCGACTGCAGCACAAATGAAGAACGACGGCAAACTTCGATCACTTGCTGCATGAGTGTTTCCTGATCCTTGTGTTTGCTACGCATATGCTTCTTCACCTGTCCGCTTCTGTTGGCTACCCAGAGGTGAGAGAGAGGGCAGTGTTCTAATGCTACCTGGCGAAATGCCTGCAGCGATGCCAGATGCTTCCAGCCTCCCTCTTGCAATGCCTGATACGTACTGGCACGATCACGCAACGACTGGTTTTCCAAGGAAGCCCCTTGCGGTAACGGAGGCTGCTCTCCGTAGTCTCGGCCTGAGGGTAGGACTCCATGCAGGACGGGGCAGACTTGGGCCACGATATGATTTTTGAGCTGAGGGACCCCTGTGAACGCTCTGGCACAGTGCCGGCAGGTGGGCATACCTGCCAGAGAGTGGTCTTCAAATCGAAAGGCGGCCTCCTCCGTCATTGCAAGACGTCTTTCCGACTGCCCGTGCGAGGTGGTCATATGATAACGAAGAGCCGGGGTGTTATCTGCACGAAAACCGCAAATTTGGCACTGCAGCGTGTGTGATGACTGACTGGGCACTTCACCTGGTGTTGTGAGCATCCCGGAAGACGCCGTGGTGATCACCTCCGGCGCAGCTGGTATACTCCCAGTTTCTTCGCCACTCTGATGCCGAGCAGGTGCTCCCGTATAGGTCCCTGTTCCGGCACAGGGTGCACCGAGAGCGTGACATCCTCAGGTCGTGAGAGCCCACCCTGCGTGGAATGGTGCTGCTCCGTGGCTGCTGTTCCTGCATGGCTGAGATGAGTGAGCTGCTGTGCTGCCTGGGGTGTGGTTTCCGTCGCCTTGGCAGGGCCCTCCTTGAGTGATTTGGCCACGGCCTCCTCAACATCTCCCAGACCTGAATGGAGAACACCTGTGACCCCAACGTGCGATTGTGTCTCTCCTTGGTTTTGACTGTCATGGCCTCCAGAGGGTGGGGCACAGCAAGCCTAAGGAGCAGCACTTCATTAGACTCGCGTGTGAGATGCACTGGCGAATTTGCGATAGCTCTGAGCTGTCTGAGTGTCGCAGCACACAGAAGTCTCGGCCCAACCACGTCAACACCTGTACTGTCTAAGCCGTAGGAAAGGGTTGTCCAAACAATTGCTCGTCACAACCTGAGTCGATTACGCAGGGAGAGTCTCCCTGTCCGTTTGACCGCGGCCTGAATGCGGACATAGCTTGCTTGTGCGCATTTGATGCGGTACTTGACTGTTTCCCGCTCAAGGTGTCGATACGACAACATGATCCCCAGGTATTTGCGATGAGACTTTATCGGCAAAAGAATACGTTCATCCCTACAGTGAATTTGCACACATGTGCCCAGCTCAGGGTCGGTCGCCAAGTGTTTTCTCCAAATTGTGGTGTGTTGGGATCCCACAAACCTGGCCAAGATCACCGTTTTGCTGGTGTTTGCACTAAGATTATGCATTTTCAAAAAGTCGAGTAAGAACGCAATCTGTTTAAGTGTTTTGTCAAGCTGGGCCTGATCATTGATCTCCCACTGGCTCAGAGTGTCGTCAGCAAAAAGCGTGAGCAAGGGCTGCAAATCACTCTGATCGAAGATCGGTATGAGTTTGCTAGGCAAGAACCCGGTTATGCACGACCACACGATGGGCGCTAACCTACATCCCTGCCTCAACCCTCGACCAGTGGAAACGGATCTTGTTTCGCCTAAGGCAGAGGTAAAGCAAACTCGCATGGCCTCGTGCAATCCGACGATGACATCCAGTACCTCTGTGGGGACCTCAGCCCATTTAAGGGCATCTCTGATGAGACCGCGATCAATGGAGTCAAAGGCCCTCCGGAGGTCTATACTGAGTGTCAAGCTTCCTTGGATGGATTGTTGCCGGATTCCTGCACGGCGGTGGTGAATGGTGTACTGCGTGCCCAATCTCTGCCGGGTGCGATGCACATGCCAGACCGCTCTATCCACTGCATCAGCAGTTGACCGCCCAACCAAGTATGCGAACTGGGGTATGGACGCGAGCTTGTGAGTGATGGTCTCCCTGACTCGGTACATGGGGAGCACTGCAAAGGACTTACCCAGTGGGTGCAGTAAGGAGATGGGCCGGAGCTTGGCAATGGCATCCAGTCGCCAGTCGCTGATCTGTTTTCGGAAGAAGGCACAGAAAAGACAATGCCCAGTCCCTCGGCCATTGATCCCGAAATGACCCCGAGCTAAGTTGACCCTGAAACTGTTGCACTGTGAATTGGCTGATGGTCTGTGCGCAGTGTTTCCAAAGGGGGGCAGGAGCACAGTGTTGCGGCAGGGCTTTGTGTTGGGGGAGTTCGGAGAGGGCATGATACAGCTCATCGGAGTCAAAGTAAAAAGGACATTCCAACTGGGTGTCTTCCACTCTTCCACTGCAAGCTTTGAAGCAAACACTTCGGAGTAGTGGTCCAGAATTAAAGTGGCCTCTTCTCTTGGCCCCACGAGTCGCCCTTGAGTATCACGGAGCTGCAGTTTGCGGCGTCTGATTTTAGGAGCGATACGGCGCAACACCTGATACAATGCTCCAGGCTGTCCCGTCGAACTAGCTTGTTCCGCATCCACCAGCTGTTGCTGGATTTTGGCACGCTTGTCCGCCTGTACCCGCCGCTGGATGACTCGCCTAATGGATCTATATCGAGCAAGATGGTGCCACCTGGACAGCAGGCTGTGTGCCTGCATTGCCAAGGCCCGATGCTTCCACACACTGACAAAGCCCGCCCGGGGAGCAACCACAGTACCAAAGATTTGGTCCCAAGCTTGAAGCAGGACTGCGTTGACGCTAGCCACCGTCGGGGCCTGTTGAAGCATTTCGTTCACCATTTGCTGAAAGTGTTGAGCCTTCTCAGGTTCCCTGGCCAAGCAAGCTGAAGCCTTATCCGGGGTAAGACGTGAGCCCTGAGGCCCTGAGGCGTGGATCGGGGGACGGTCGGACGTGGAACGGTGACTCTTAGCGGAAAGTGCCACATACCCTCAATCGGCAGCAGGGGAAAATCCCGCATGATCTGTACACGCCTGCTACGATCATCAGCCTGTTCCCTTCTCATCACCACAAAATCAATTTGTGAGCCTTGCATGGGTTTCTGTGAAGCGTTGATGTAAGTGCTGGCGGCCATGCCTTCCCTCCCGAAACTATTGAGAACCTGAAGATCTCCGTTACGAAGCACATTAAGCAAGACGTCAGGTCCGGCGCGGGGTCAGGGAGGGGGGGAGAGCGAGGTTTGACATTACGCCTAACACTGCCCCCGACATATGGGAGACATGTGCGAATTGGGCAATTGAAGTCACCGGCAATGACAACCTGGGCCCTGGCCGGGGTGCTCTGCACAAACTGCTGCAAACGACGCCAGATGGCTGCTCTTTGAGTTAATAGTTTGTCTTTGGCGGTGGTGCTCAAGTCATTGCGCCACGAGTGCTGATACATTGCAATAAGCTCAAACGACGGTTCCATAGCGAGTTTGATGTGCAAAAGTCTACCTGGCTTCAGCTCATCGTATCTCAGCTTGTCCGGTGAGCACAAATCACGAGAAACCATGAGCAATAAACCGCCGTTCTTGTTCTGGTTGGTACCAGAATGCACATACGAATACTTACTATCTGTCCACTCGCTGGAGGTTTTCCAGAGCGTCTCCTGAATGATCACAATCTGTGGCCGGCGGCGATCAGAAGCGGTGTGCAACCACTGTTTGAGCTCAGCTAAAGATGTCGATTCCGGGTCCGGTGGGGCCCTGAGCGGGGAGTGTCTCTCGGTCCTTGGGAGCGGCCGAATGTTGCCCGCTAAGCCACCTACCTCTATACATGACCCCTCCTGCTGGATGCTTGCGTGCCAGTGCACGCCTATAACCTCGTTTCCTCGCTGGTTGCCAGTTGTTGCGGGTGTGCTCAACCCTAACCCCGTCTTTTGCATCCGCAGAAATGTGCGATGAACTATGTCCGATGGTGGATGCTCCCGGCACGTGGCGGGGACCAGAGGTGCCAACCCTCACTCCAGACACTACGATCATGCTAGCCCAATGCAAGAAGAGCACACAGTAAAGGAGTGGGCGCAATGAGATCGGTGTAATGTAGTGCCTCCCGGACTTGGGACCGGGCCTAGTGCGATTCTGATGATGGGGCTCTGGCTCTTCGGGGGAAGACAATGCTTCCTTGTCGTGATCTCTGGGTGTGACATGGTTTGTGGGCTCATGATGCGACTCTCTGCTTTCACCCGTACTAGTTGGTACACACAGTGGCCACGTACCGATCAGCCATCCTCCGGAAACGGATCCATGCACGCCTCCAGAATGAGGTCTCCTGGTAGCACCAGGCACGGCCATACCCAAAGAAGGGGTGTGCCATACGTTTTGGGGCTCTGACTCTTCGGCGTCGGTGGTTGGCCTGAGGCACGTACCAGCATCTTGGCACACGCCCGTGTGCCCCCGCCCATGCGCCTGATGCAGCAATGTGTTGGCAGAGGAGCAGGGCTAGCAGGACGAGGCCCCGGCGTTGTGCCTTGGCTCTGCGGCAAGGGCACCGGCATCTGTGCCGACATGGGCTCCGACGCGGCTTCAGGCAATGACTGATCAGAACCCAAGAAAGCATCAAGCTCAGAGCTGTCAGGAGGAGACGCACATTCGCAGTCAGAGTGGGAGTCCACGCCAACTTCAGGGTCCAAAGAGAGAGACATGGGGACGGACTCGAGGCATGGCTGTAGCTCCTGTGCCGGTGCCAACCAAGGCTGTCTGTGCTGCTGCTGTCGCTGCTGCCTTCGCTGGTGCTGTGGCGGGCAGCCCTTTTGACTCGGCTCCGTCGCCCGTGCGTGCGACGTTTGGCGGTCGTCTTGGGTTTAGGCTTTGCCTTGGATCGCTGCTTGGTTCCTGGCATACTCTTGGCCTTTGTAGAGCTCTTGCCCATGATGCCGAAGTGCCACACAGGATAATCCACGACCTAGAAAGGTCAATGCATGGAGCCGAGCCGAAGGATACGGAGACTGCAGAAAATCGAGACCCGCACACGGCAATCAGCATACAAAAGCCTGGCAGTGGTTCGGTTTGGTCGCCTGTTGGGCTAGGTGAAGGCCTAGCTGAGGCACCGACTGTATTGCGCAGTTCCCAGCCGCACTGCCCGCTCCCTGCTACAGCAGCAGGTCCCTTGTGCTGCATGACGCACAGACCCTATCTCTCGGACGGCTGTCACGTGTTTTCCTGCCGCAACATGTTGTTGTGTGCTTTGTGTCCGGATGCTCAGGCACCTCAGGCATGCGATGTCATCGTGTTTGCAAGCTGGCCGCCACAATCCAAGCGCATCCATGTATGCTGCAACCGTCTTCCCGCACTGGTTCGGTCTGCCTCTCTGCTGATCTGAGACCAGCTGTGGGCGAGAAACTTCACAAGGCAGAGGTTCAAAAGTAACATAGGCACTATCACTGGTGGCAGCCGGGTGCTTGCAGCACTTGGCCTTCTTGTCCATGCTATGCCCTTCGATCCCTGCGATAGTCTCGGCGGCGAAAGCAGCAGTTGAACTATCTCGCTTCAATGTGGGCACCACATGTGTCCGGGGTTGAAGCGGTGGATCTGAACTCACAGGATACTGCAACACACGGTGTCGCGGCAATGGTGGCGTCGGCGGCTGTCGCAGCTGGGGCCCCGGGCCGTCTGCTTGATGAGGAGTCGTTCCCGGCGGCCAGGTCTGCAAGCCGATCGCTTCTGCCGCCCGATCGCTTCTGCCGCGAGTCGCTGCTGAAGCACATTTGGAGAAATGTGCTGGGCCCTGGGGCCGTAACCTCCTACGGCGTCTATGCGTCTCTCGAGCGAAAACTTACAGGAGAGAAGCAGGGCCAGACCTCTATCTCTATCAGTGTTTGAAGTCACGAGATCTCTGAGCGACGGCCTGGTGTGGTAGCCTTTGTGGTAGCCCCGTCGGTGACTCCTGCATGTCAAGAATCTCACATTGACAGGGGCAGCGTCGGTTCGACACCCGACAGGACCGCACACTCGAGTGACAGAATGCTTGAAGCCTGCCATGCATCCATTCTCGCTCCACGAAGAGACCTGAGAAAGCGCGGGGCGGGGACACCCAGCACTCAGCGACATGTCACTCAGTGCTTGGCTTAAGCAATGGACGGCAAGCATCTTCCATCCTGGCAGCGTGGCTTCACCACAGCCACCACACATAGTCGCGTTACTCGCTGGCATGTTGAAGGCTCGACCCGGGCCTATACAAGCAGCATACTGGTACCTGTGGGCAATGCATTCTCCAACACACTGGGGCTGGGCAGCAGACGAGGTTATCGGGCACTCCTCTGTTACGACCAGCAGTAGGGAAGACTGTATGACCTCTAGCAGCAGATTCTGAAAATGCACATCCCTTGCTAGCTTGACACGAGCTCCTGACCATGTTGCCAGCGTGCCGGGCACATCGGATCTGGCAGCAGGTGTGCTAGACAGCGTGGTGTCACCACAGCTGAAGCTGAAACGAGTGGCGGGCTCACCGCCCTCGGCTTCCACTCCGCTTGATCGCAAAGACCTGCAAGCTAGGGTGGCTTCCGGCGTGGGAGCACCACAGCCATGTCTGAGGGTCGCAGCCCCTGGTATCTATAATATCCCATCCACCTGCTGTGAGATATCGCCAGTGCTGTGCCGAACATGTCATGTGCGAGTCTGTCTCAGCATCACAACAAAGCAACCGAACAGAATTCCATGCATGAAACTGTAAAAACCACAGGCGTGTCCCGGGCTTCCCGCGACAGTCCCGGATAGCTTTGCTGAACCATAGCGAGCAAGAGGGCACGTTCCCTAAGGAAGAGCAAGTCACATGCCCGAATTATGATTTGTTTCGGGTTTCCACCCCGCAAAAGCGCTGTAGCCAAGGCAATACCATACTCGTATTGGTGCCCTGGGGCAAGCAGAAGCGTTTCCGTGACCAGGTCCAAGGCAAAAGACCGAATGTGTGTGGCAGTGTCGAGGAACCCGGAGTGCATTTCTCGCTCAGACAGGCTGTCGCTGGGTTCACAGGATTTGTCAGGACCGAGAAAATACCGTCGAGGAAAGTCAATCGATGAGCTGCGAATGGTGCCTGAGCTGGAGCTATGCATGCTGTGCGATGGTCTTCGCCGTTCTCGGCGGCGCCTGCGCTTGGTTTTGATCCGTATGCGCCTTCCAGGCGGCATTCTCCAGAGCTGCTTTCAGCTCAAAAGCGCTGCACTCGTGATCCGAATTTTCGGACCACGACGTGAACCTACCCAAAACTACGGACTGCAAAAGCACTTGCTGTGTTGTTGTGACAAGAGGTAGTTGTCAGAAGACAGTCACCTGCTTTCGCACCCAGCGCTAGGTGCTGGCCACAACGAGCGAAGCTCAAGCTGAAGAGTCCTCTGGTGCAAGTACGCTGTAAAAGCCGTGGGCCGAAAAGTCAGCCTCCACAGTTGTGCGACAAGAGTGTTGTGGCGCAGCAGGCAGCCACTACCGAGCAGTGAGGTTACACTCGAGTTAGGTAGAGAACATAGCAGTCGGCTTGAATCTCATGCCTGATTTTGGCATTTGCAAGAGTGGCGGTTTTGCCATCGTCTGCATACCAGAGTTTGTCGCCTTCGTCCAGCAAGGCAGCTCGGTAATGGCCCTCCGTAGGAGTGTTTCCCAAGTGAACCGCGGCGGCTTGCAGCTTATATGCGACATTGCATACACGAGTGTCCGATGCAACAAAGCTAGGAATTTGCACCACTTCATCGTCAAGCCTTAAGAGGGTGTGAAGTTTACCACGCGGGCCGTATCGCGAAAGCTGCAAAGCTATGCACTCAGGAGGATGCCACAGCGCATGGACCTGGGCTTGGGCAGTCCATGAGTTCACAAGTTCTTGCACCGTAGCGCCAGCAATCAGGGGCACCGACAAGGGCAGGGGAGAGGTGTCTCCCAGGTATCGCACCTCTCCTTCAGTGGTGCGTGCTTGCCATACTCCGCTCAAACCGTTCATATTGGCCTCCCACCTGGAAGGATTTGAGAAACTCAGCTGCGTCGTGCTGCTGTCCCGGGGCCCTCCAGTGATGAAGCAGTTGCTTGAACGGCCAGAGATCCCAAAGCATAAGGCATCCTTAGCAGGGCCTCGAGAGAGGCTATCAAAGCTCTTGGCAGGAGATCCTGCCGGCACTGATAGTGTGACCATAACAGACACAACGCGGTGCAATTGGAATAGCAAACGTTGGACTGGTTCAAAAGTCGGGCCTTCAGAACGTGCTGCCTGTTCACCTGAGCTTTGGGTTGAGTGTGACGCGTGGCATTAGGGGCATTAGGGGCAGGAAGGGCGGTTGGGCATGAAACGGGCTGGAGAAAACTTTTTCACTTTCCAACGCTGGGCTTCGAAAAGTCCTTTGCGAACCCGCCGATGGACCACTGTGGGTCATCGCGAGAGGTGCAGCAGGACACTAACTTGTACCTAGGGTACGCAGAATTACGAGCTACGGCAGAAGCTAGAAGCACGACACTACGGGCTACGGCTGCAGCTACGGCACTACGGCAAAACTGCAGTGCAGAAGCACTTGGGGACTGCAGGTCACACACGAGTGACGCGGAACCACTTGCACTCGCGACAACGCAACAGCTGTCCCCTAAGGAGATGGCACCGAGCGTGGCTCTTTGGTATAGCAGAGAAGGTAAGCATTCGCATATATCTCAGCAAGTTCGGCGGGTTTGGCAAGCTTAGCAACACGATTGTCGAAGACCTGATGTCAATGTGGCGCAGTTTTTCGGAGACCCTCAGCGTGGCTGATTGCAACAGCGGCCTCAATATCACAGTAAAGTAGAGGCACAACTGGGTCACACCCCAGAATATGCTCAACAGCACACCGTGCTCCCAGAGCTTCCTTAGCTCCCTCAACCAACGCATAAGGCCGAAGACAAAGCAACAGACTGCTGAAGTCTGGCCCACGTCTTGATACAGGCCTTCCCTAACATGAGGCACCCTCCCCAGATCGACCGACGATCAACGGAGCGCTCCCTACCCCATGAGGCGTCCACATAGGCATGGAGACGAAGTTTCTCAACACTTTGGCGCGGAAAAAGCTGAAAGTAGTTGACGACGGTCTTCAGGTACCGCAACACAGCGCGCATGGCGCGTTCATGCACTTCCAGGGGCGAGCTCTGGCCCCGGGCCAGAACAGAGACGTGGTAGACTAAGTCCCAGCGCGTGGTGCTCAACCAACTCAGCTTGCCCAGTGCACGGCGGTAGTGGGCGGCAGCTTCCGCAGAAAGAGGAACCCTTAACCCCGGCTGGTCCAGAGCCCTGTCAAGCAAATCCCTCAGGCAAGGCGGAGTAGGGACACCCTTGGCGTTCTCAAGCTTGTACTCTTCCAAGCTCCGGCAGCCGTTCTAGTCTCGACAGACAACGGGCAGCCCCTGCGCTTTGTTCCGTCGCGTCTGGCTGCTTAAAAGCAAATCGTCAACACGCTCAAAATGTGGATGGCTTGACCCTCAGGCCCAGGCTCAGCTTTGTTCTTTGGAGAAGGTAGAGTTGACCATTACGTCTGGAAGCTTGCCATATTTAAATTTGTTTTCACACCTTAGCGGCTTTAGCGTGGCACATAACAGGTATCATCCACATGAAAAACGCATTCCGGCACACCCCGCCGAAAGACTGCCCGTTGATCTGGATAGCCTGGCGCCTTGCCAATACGAACACCCGAGCGTCTGAAGACGTAGGCCGAGGAGTCGAGGACATGGAGACGCCGCGCTGCCGCGCATGCAAAATCAAGGGTTTCGACATGGACAAGGCGATGCACACTCCAGCCTGAATCGTTATGCCAAGTACCTCAGGGATACCTTTGACCCCAAGGGTTCGCTTGAAAAGGACAAGAAGATTGATGCCGAGTTGGGGTTTGATGCTCCTGTTCCGACCTAGGGGATTCAGGGTTTGAGGGTGAGCTTAGGGAGTTTGTTGAGTTGCCCGGTGACGTTGTAAGAGACCCGGTTGACTACGAGGACTCCATTGCTGATGATGATAGCAGGGAGCTGCCACAGCAGCCCGAAGATGAGATCACCAACGAAGAGATGCAGAATCTTATGGACTTGAGGCAGAGGCTTTGGACAGGGTCCCAGAGGGGGTCGCTGTGCCTTTGCTGGTCGCTTTGAGCATCAGGAGGCTCTGGGCCCTCTGCGGTTTCTACGGTTGGTGGTGAAACCAAAGACGGAGAAATCATTGTCGAGCTTGGGTGGGCTTGTCAGGGTGCGCTTCCCGGGACGACGTCACTGAAGTTGAGCTTGATCTCGGAATCTAGGATTGACCTATGATGGCATGATCCAGGAGCTCAGAGCTTTAGAGAGTTTAGCGGTTGGGGATATGATGTGGCGCGTTGATACAAAGCAGCGAGTGATCAGCACATGTTGGGTCGTCGCACCAACCGAGAGGATTGAGGGCCGGGAAACGCCCTCGTTGCAGAATCGTTTGCCCGAGACTACTCCACCGACTTCAGCAGCACAGCTTGCATCAGCTCTCCAACGGCGTCCGCCAAGACGTTAGTTGTTTCTTGCGGTTGCCGGGGCCAAGGGTTTGAAATCCCATATCTCGATGTGTCCACCTCTTTCTCTTTGCGCACCTTAAGGGAGCAGTTTCTGGTCAGCATGCCTTGCAGATCCTGCCCAAACCCTGCAGATCCTTCCTGCAGATCCTTTCCTAAACCCCCCTTTTGCATTCCAAACTCTGCACTTCCCAGCCTCCTCAGCAAAAATTCGTATTTTTCGTGCGCATTTCCAGTGTTTTTGGTGGTCCTGCAGGCCTTCGAACTCTTAGCCTCCAGATAATGCCGCAAGTCTCCACCTGGCACAGAGTCCATTTGGGCACTATGAAGTTTCGGTCACTATTCGGACATTCAGGCATG